TGGTTCCTTGTATCAGAGGACTCAAGCCAAGGGACTACGCTTTGATACCAATTTACCGTTCCGAATTTGTGACGTCACTGTGCCTTTATAAATAGTTATCATTTTATTATCCGTGTTTACTACTTCGAAAATCGCAATGACTGTGTCTATATATAGCTGAACTCATAATGTTTTATCACTGAATGTACTGTAAAACGGCTTTCTTTTGCATGCAATCGAAATTTCGTGGAAATAAATCGCCTTTAATGAAGAGAGTTGTGTTGAGTGAAAGTGTGAGTGAAGCCTCCTGTTTCGCGAAAGTTAATCATTGTGAATTTGTTGTGAGTGAAAACAAATTTGGTTAACAGTATTTGGTGTGTAATCAGGACCGGCACATAATATACTTGTGAGTTTCATTCACCATTCACTTTTCAAAAAGCATCGGTTTCTATTGGCAACAGAGTCTAATCTATTTTTTTTACCCACAATTCCTCATCAAAGGCATGAGTATGCATGTGCTATTTAGAGGCGGAATAGGCAAGAATTGGAATTGGAAACGCATTCATGAACACTTCGTAACTGTGTAACCAGTCAAAGTAAATTGAATGATAATACATAATCAACCTTTATAGGATATATGTCACATACCCAATTCCTGTTTGTAATCCATTTTTACGGGACTCCCATGTGTGTGTCCATTCGTTCATCTGTTTAAAAAGCATTTGGTGAGGAATTGTGGGTAAAAAAAATAGATTAGACTCCGTTGCCATTAGAAACCGATGCTTTTTGAAAAGTGAAGAGGTCAAGTTCTCAAATGCAGGCTTTTTCATGGGACTCCTACCTGTAAAATTAAAGTAATGAAACTTTGCATAATTGTCAACAACTTAGAGAAGATGAGTTGAATACTTTATTTATTTTGTCCTCCAAAAATCAAAGCAATTGGTTAAGTCCAGACATAGCTGGTCATACCTATATAGTGATAAGTTACCGTTCATTGGTGAAGAAAAACCCAGACATGATTTTCCTTTAAAAAATGAATGCTTGAGATACAGAAAATCAAAAGAACTAAAAATTAATTTGATGTGGCTTAAATACCAGATTGATGTGGCCTCAACATGTTAAGTTCTTCATATCTACCCGTTATTATCTTAAAATTCCATTTTACTTAGAACTATTTGTATCAAAGGTGTTTTTCACATGTGTGTCGTTTGTACCGTGACAATATTCGAAATTGTGATTTTGTGAATAATTATCTCTTACTGTATCATGCGATTCTAAATTCGAGCTGACATAAAAATGACATGCCCCAGATATCAAGAGTAAAGTGTATCTAAGGTGGTTTTATCAAAAAGTCCTGTATGATATATTTAATTCATGGACAGCTTCGCGAAATATCGATGTCATAGCGAATTTAACCCTTTGACAAAACCATCAGAAATACACCTTAATTCTTTTGTTCATTGTCCATAATTTTCATCAATTTAGGCTTAATCTAGAAGTTGGAGTATTCACGGACGTCAAAATGAATATCATCGTATGTTTTTTCGGTAAACTTTTAAAACAGCCGTCAACTGATCAGGATTACCGCTGTCGCTGTCTCGATGTTTTTCGTCTAAACACCGGCAAACAAAATCTCGTATAACTGTTTATCGTGATTGTTTTGTATCGCAAAGTTCAATTCATGCACTTGACAAATTGTCTATGATGGAAGGGAAGCAACTCATGCTGAAAAAATAGATATGCACGAATGTCCCAATTTATACGCTCATGTTTAAGCATAGAATTTCATAACATTGTTCTTATGTGTAAGCACTTCCGGTATCTCCTTGACAACTGTATCAGTAATTTTTGGGATTCGAATATTTGAATCCTATACTCATGCTTTTCCTGTGTAACTCACTCAAATTCTGAGAACTCACTATATCTCTTAGTACTGGGACTCATTAAAATTTTAGAAAAGGTGTTCGGGGATCGCATGAAAAAGAATCTTACAAAAATTACCATTTAAATAATGAATTTCATTCTTTTTCAATAGTTGATCTAATTTTTTATTATTATCAGTGGCAGATAAATGGATCAGAGACAAGTTCTAGCAACTTATGAACTTTTACCCATAAATAAAATTACAAATGATTAACACACTGCACGTGACACATATTTATAAATATGAAGATAAGTAATTCGTAGACGTACAATTGTAAGTTTAAATCATTTTTTCAAAAGGAGGAAAAGATGTGATGATAGGATTGAAAGAAGAGAAGAGAAAAAGAGAGAGTATAGATTTTATATCAATTCTATATCAATTAAGTGCCGACTACAAAACAGTTCAGAATTAGATAGTTTTAAAGCGTTTTGTTTGTTTTATAAACGTTTGAACATATCTAACAATATTGTATTAGTTTCATATGAGTAAACATCACTGTAGCCCTATAATATAGTTTCTATATTAAAATCTACGTCTACATCATACAAAGTAGTAAACAGTTGACAGTTGGAGCTGATAAGCAACGTATGTCCCAAATAGAATGTGCCAACTAAAGCATACGGTTAACGACGTTTGGTTTAGCTCCTACTTAAAACGTCAATGTAGAAAACACTCCTCATGACGCTTAAATAGAAAAGTGATTTGTGAATTGTCTTTTTCAAGTTTTCAATTTGAACATCGAGATCGTTAGGGTACATAAACAAAGGAGTGAAAAGCTTTTACCTTTTGGCAGAATCTGAATAAATAACCTTTACACCAAACACGATCTATTGCCTTAGGGATGCTTCAGTACACAGCACATAAATTTTGCCCCAATTGCCCCCGGTACTGTTAAGATTGTACTAGCGAATGAAAACACACTTTCAAATGACTGCAAAACATTAGAGACTTAAAGGTGAAGCAGATGACGTCACTTTTCTTAAAAATATCTCAAATCTGTTTTTCTTCTACAGAAAGAAAAACATAGATTAATCTCCACAAGCATTAACACCTTTCTTCTAAATGTGACGACAGAGTGAACAGCTTCTATCTAGTTTCGCACGTCGAAGGTGATCCGATATTCAATGTCTTGTTCCAGTAACGTTGTTTGTATGAGATATCGACAGCTTGCAAGTGAATTTACAACACGTGGTTTTGAGAGGGGCGAGTTGAAGAACACTCCGGTCGCAATAATCACCCTATTGGGGAATATTCTATATCTTTAATGTTAAATAAACACATGTTATCATTTCTATAATGCGACATTTTCCATTTGGATTTACCTAGAATTACATGGCGAGTTTCATCGTGAACAGAATGCGCTTACCATTCCGGAACATCTGACCTTATTCTCCTTGTACTTTTTCAGTGGTGGCCGTGTAGATTTTTCCTTTGTTAGTTAACATGTTGATTTCCTTGATTTTGAGTTGAATAAGATCTTCTTTTGACCTATCAATCAGAAATATTCAGTAGAGCTCAGTGACTGTAAAATCATGTCCACCGAAAGCAACAGAAATAAGAATGAAAGACAATACATATAATATTTCAAAGCTTGATATTGTTTTTGATGATTCAAATATTTGCGTTTTTATCAATAGCTTGAATAAAAAAGATGTTATTCTCTCAATTAATTTCATTTTCATATATATATAATGTATGAGTCTTCAAAAATACCGAAAAAAAATGTAATCCCACGAAATATCAGTTTTTCATAATGTACAAAGTGTATCTCTGTGAATGTTGTCCTTGCTTTTCCCGTTTAACAAGTGTGTTCACGTAGATCGTCTCTTTTTGTTAGTATTTTCAGTTTCATTTTCTTTTCACAACTTATCAATAAACATTCACACACACACACACACACACACACACACACACACACACACACACACACACACACACACACACACACACACACACACACACACACACACACACACCCACACACACACACACACACACACACACACACACACACCCACACACACACACACACACACACACACACACACACACACACACACACACACACACACACACACACATATATGTATATGGACACTTAATTACAAAATGGCACTCCTCTTCAATATCACAATTATTACAAAATACACATAGTCTGTTATTTCTATCAATCAGACCTGCCAACAACTTTGCTGGAGGTTGCTTGAAATTTTGCGTGAGGCTCCTGGGAATATCTTCACTAACTATTAAACTTTATATATGCTAAAATAAGACTTAACTAGTCAAACTATTAGACTGCCAGAGCCACATGTAAGCGTCACTGTGATTGGCTAATCAGTAGCACTAGGTGGCAGAGTGCGACGCACATCGCTCGACTCGTCGTCACCACTGCTTAGGATCATATAACCGCGGTATAAGTGTAGAAAACGAGGTTTTTGAAAATTTCTGACCAATAAATTCATTTCGCGTGAGATAACTAAGGCTTGCGTGAGTGCGTGAGACAGTGGCCAAATGCGTGAGACTCACGCGAGAAGCGTGAGACTTGGCAGGTCTGATCAATATTTCTATATCTTCACTTTTCGATGTCCAAGTCTTGTGCCAAGGAGTTTTTCTTCAAAAACAAACTGTTAGTTATCGGATATCGTGGGTGTTAGCCGATTTCTCACCCCGTGGTCGTTATAAAATGGATTAACCCTAATCCCAAACAGATTAAAGCTATATAGTCCTACATACCAGGCAGGGTGTGCAAGTTGGTCAATTCAAAAGTTAAATAGCCCACGAAGGAAATAATCTTACCGAATTTTGAAGAATAATTATTTAAAGTTCTCTGAGACTTTACTCAACTAGATGTCTTAATGAAAAGAGAGCCACAGATGTACTGAAGCTGAAACATTGTCCAACAGAATATGGATTAGTCTATATTGACAAATTCGTATAGTGAACGAATCTATTCTGTATATTTGAAATCCCGCAACAGGATTGCCTTGAACACGATGAGGCCGAAATGTGATGAACGTTCGAGGAATGAAGTAAACATGGACAGCGTGTAAATATTTAATGTGATAAAACGTATCAGAGCAGGGCAGCACAGACGGTAATGGCGTTGGTCATCTGTCTGCTGCTGTTGATTACATGTACCGTTAGAGGGGACCCGGCAGGCTGTACCTATTTCCCATCCAGTCTTAAATACGAGTGTTCCTCCAGGAACTGGGTGTTGCCTCTAGCTCTGTCAGATTTCGATAACGTCCCACAGAGCCTCACTCTGATTGATATCAACGGAGATCTTCCGTCGTCAACGCCGACAGCGACCTTTACCGGATTTGACGTCATCAATACAACGTTGTTTGACACGAATTTTGTACCAACGTTTACAATTCAGTGTTATACAGGAGGGATGTTGATCTATCACAATGGAACATTCAGTGGTCTCGGATACATTAAAGAAGTTCGTATCCAGAACTGTGAAGTGATAGCCTTGCCTGATCAGGCCTTCCAAGATTTTGGTGATTTGAATTATTTAGGTTTTGAAAATGGAGTTATTGGTGATATTGGCTTTGATGCTTTTAAAGGGTTAAATATATACCCCATGGCCGTCCCTCGTCCACTCGGAATGCTTCTGATGACATCCAAGTTGGAGGGAAGAGTACTTCCTAACGGGGTGTTCTATCATTTGACCAACGCGACAAATTTTGTGATCGACGGTACCAACCTCGACACGGTGCAAGCGGACATGTTTCAAGCCTCCATCAAACTTCGTTTCTTATCGATGCGACATAACTGGTTCACGTCCTTCCCGAGCAACATACTCTCAAACTTGCATGGACTCCAAATCCTAAATCTAGACGGGATTAAGTGGGATTGCACGTGTGATAACCTGTGGTTTCTGGATTACTGTCAAACTAACAATGTCTCTCTACGTGGATCAATGATATGTAACAGCCCAAGCACGTACAAAGGTATGTACTTCTAATACAGTGTTGAAATGGTATTTACAGTCGAAATGAATGACACAGTGCGACCTGTATTCTTTAAATGCCCTTTATGTCTCTTAATGTCCAAATTTGATTGTTACAAGCTTGGTAATATGGTTTGAGTATATTTTCATAATCTCGGTCTAAATTGTTGAAAGCAGGATTCCTGTATTTCATGCATGTTGTCTTTATCACGATTTTCGCGCAAGATGTAGACATTTGACCTTGTTCTTAAATATGAGAACATGACATTTCTTACTTGCATTGACCAAAACTTCATGACGGCGTTGTTGATGAAAGAGACGACGCTTATCCTTTTGGAATACTTGTTATTTTTTTCTTTATATTTTTAAAAGTCTCGGTTTTTTGTTCATATTTTGCCCTAGTTTCAAGGCTTTGTTTAAAATCAGTATTCCATTTACATGCCAGTGCCTTGTCCTCAGTTTTGTTTAGAGTGTGATCTATACGATGTCCCGTCAGATCTGCACTTTTTTGTTTTAAGTGTGTGGTTGCTTATGGTTTTCATTTGCTTTGTTTCCAACATAACAGATAAAAAAGCATACCTATTTAAGAAGGAAGAGTGTCCCGCTGAAATAGTTCTACCGTGTGACGATGATCTTACGGGTAGGTACATATACAAAGTTTTTGATTATCGTATTTGCATTTTACGAGTACGCCAGAATTTTCAATAATAATTTCGCGATTACGAACATTCAACAAGAATCCAAACGACAAATAAGTGGGATTTCAAACAGACTGTTTACAAATGTATTTCCTTTTTATCACATTTTAATGAAGAAACTTGTTACAATATGTCTATAGAAAGTAAATTAATCAGTTGATTGATTCGTGACGACGTTTCTGATGACGTAACGCATGGCGACAGAAAATGCAGTATTAACGCAATTCAGTCGTTTTATGTTGATGGAATAGGGTAGGAAACTAAAGGCAACAGTAATCGAATATGTAAGATAATTTAAACATTGTTTTCGGTTATTTTCTTGATAAAACATTATCGGATTTGAAAACCGCCTACTTAATCAAAACGAAAATTAAAAATTGCTGTGTTTCAAGCATTCTTTGAAAATAATTACAAAGTAATTAGTACGGACATGTTTGACTTTTTCAGGGATTGCCGTTGGAAACACGTGCTTGACATACCCCGACATAGCGGTTTACGTCGTCTCTCTCTTATCGCTCTCACTAGTCATAGCAACTCTTCTCATCAATGTTCACACAAGACGACAAAATGCGGATGATTTGGAGGATAAGTCCATGACGAACCTGGACAAGGGAAGTCAGCGGAAACTTAGTGGATCGAACTGGAACAGAGCGTCAGATAATGGAACGGAAGATATCAACCAGTGGTTAACACAGGCAAATAGAGAAAATGACATTGCTGACGAAATAATGTAGCGTGGTCAAAACTCGACTTTCTGAAGTGGACGAGTGATTTTAGAGATATTCGTTAGAGCAAGATAATATTGTCTGCATATTGTTAGGCGTAACTGTAACCGGGTTGTACTGGGGCCTTGTAAAGGATGACTAGAACAACCGGGTCGAGTTCGTTCATTTATTGCAGAGAGTCATAGTTGAAGGTACATTACCAATAGACAAGCCCTATTGTAGATATCTAAAGGAAGGTGTACAAAGAACCTGCAATACACAATCAAAAATATATTTCTTAACAAAATGTTAACAATATCAACCTACATCACTGTCAATAGCATTATTATATACATATGTTTACTTGTCAATGATAAATAACATATACTGATACTATAAAACACAAAGACAAGTATTATCCCTATATCTGATACCACAAGGGGAGGTAATCCACTTACTAAACTATAGACAACACAGATACAGATATATAGCAATTACCAAGGTATTGGATATGATCCATATCTGAATTATACATTAATCAAATATACAATTTACAATATTAATACTAAGAAACAATAGAATTAACTATGCTGCGATAATCAACACTTTGTAAATGTTTCATATGTTTGGTACCGGAGAAGTTTCTTACGCTAACTTCGGTGAGGGAGACCCTTTTCCCGTCACGTCATTGTCATCGTCCTCTCGATTGAATAGCATAAAAACACATTATATCTATATCTGCGCATTAATGCACATATCTGATTGTGAATTTAGAACATACAATGATAAGTTATCAATGGAATGCGGTAGTTGTTCCAATATATCACGAGAAAAAAGGATTGTGTGATTTAGGAGAAATTGGCGGCGAATTTCATTATTTGTTTGTACTCAACAGTCAATATTGAAGAGAGAAAAAAAATGATATATCTAGGTATTAACATGAAAGGTCAAATGTCCATCCTGTTCAGCCATGTGGTATTATCAACAACTTGTTTATATGTATTCTTTACACTGTAATGTTTATGAAAAATCTAACATTGTCATTGCACTATGTAAACGAACATGATAAAAAGTAAAGGGTACCTCGGACATTGCGTCATTATTGTCACATGTGCTTTGGGACATAAACTAAAATAGACTAAAATAACTTCGAATAATATGTCCAATTAATCATTAACACTTTCATTTCTAAATCTTCATGATGCTTGATTATGAAATAAAAACACTTAATGCTTAACTCGATGTGATCTTTGAAGTAATTCTAATATATTTCACCGGATATATATATATATATATATATATATATATATATATGTGTGTGTGTGTGTGTGTGTGTGTGTGTGTGTGTGTGTGTGTCATATATAGACACAGAATTAAACACACACACACACACAGAGAGAGAGAGAGAGAGAGAGAGAGAGAGATATAGAGAGAGAGAGAGAGAGAGAGAGAGAGAGAGAGAGAGATTTTTTTTTGTATGTATGGGTATTTTTCAAAATACTGATTACATTTGTATGTTCCAAAAACCATTAAATGACATTTCAGAAAAAGAAACAATTGATTCATTAATTATCTAGGAGGTACAGACAAATAAATTTCAGAATTACTGAAAGATGAAGTATATTACAACCAGAAAGAAAATAATGCGGGATGTTTCGATGACTATACACTGTCACCTTCATCGGATAAATGGCCAGTGTGAGGCTTATTTACAGACAGAAAAATATCTGTGTCTTTTCGATGACTACTCTTTAACCTTCCTAAGGCAAATAAAAATTGATAGCGTGTTTTAATGAGATATCATTTTCCGCTGTAATAGTAGTGTGACAAGGAGACAATGATGTTATCGTGAAAACTGGTCGAATTGCTGATCATTAGGTGGTAACACGGGAGCTGATCCAGCAACGCCTTGAGAGTCTCTGTGACATACAGGCCAAGTACTCAGCTTCCAGTCTCCGGGAGCACCACTCTTTACTCCAAGAATGAGCGTTGTACAGTACTAACTTTGCTTGATAAATGTGGTTGTCACGGAACAACAGGACAAAAACGAGAGTAGAATCACGACCACAGCGCTAGGAAAACCTGTTATATTAAAGTTGATCGATTTGATTTCTGCTAAATCAGAAAGAAAAGTGACAATCCTCTGATCTTCTCACTGCTGTTACTAAGCCAAGATCGAATGCTAATGAAATCTGTTTATCCGTCCTCCCGTACGTCCGTAGTATTGCAACACTTTCCGTGTTTAAGCCTGCTGATGAGCTGGAAGGTTAAACGACCAATAAACTATTAAACTACATAGTTTTGGTTTTTATGTTGACATGTTCAATGTTTCTTTCCGTTTTATTTCGTGGTGGCTACAAACGTTCATGTCCTTTTCAATACGTGTATTGCTTCGATCTTCGCGTTGCTTCGAAGACAATATTAGATATTTTGCTATAATTCAAATTTTCTTATCTGATAAGGAAAAAATTGATTGTAAGAAATACACTGCATTAACGGTAGGGGACAAGGTTTGTCTTTCGCTGATTTGTCGTTCTTTATTATTTAAAGATTGTACAGAAGACATACAAGTTGAATATAAAAGAATTTGACAAATCACACAGTAGGACCCGATAGTGATGTCAAATACCTATGTGAGGTATATATATATATCAAGTATATTGAGTATAAATATATCTTTTTTTTTTTTGAAAATAATTTTCAAGACCTAATGAGATGGTGAATTAAAATTCGATTTCATAATTTTCAACACGATCGTTATACATCGGTATATTCTGAATCGTGCCACTTTTCTAATGAATTAAAAAAAAGCATGGCGTGTGGGTTTCGCCACACCTTCGTTACTAAACACCATTCAGCAATGACTACCAACCTCGAACATTGCACAAAAGACACACAATGTCAGTGATCAGCATCTTTTCATACAAATTTAGAATTAGATGTAGACAAGTAATAGATTAAACTACACGATACAGCTATTTCGTCTTTCTACGACCCACGGTAATGTTCGAGGCCTAAATTATTGAAACCTAGTTGGCTAGGGGTGAAAAATCGAATAATATCGACTTAAAGAAATTCCAAAACCAGATAAGACGGTAAAACACTTATATACATATAAATTTCGTATTTCTGACCACGGAGACTAAAGTCTCGGATATCATACAAAATACATATAATATATAAACAAAAACGCCTGATAATGTGGATTGATAATGTAGAACCGTGACTTTTCTTGATTTTATTTTCTCTGATCACGAACACAACACGGAAATAAATATCCGATGTAAGAAAAAGCGACACAAAGTCGCAGCGTCGAAAAAAACCCCACAAAAATACCGATACGTCAACAGAATCTCAATTCAAACTCAATTTCAATGAAACTAAAGGTCAAATATGAACGAAAGTGGAATTTACATGGAGAGTCTCCGTAAATGGTTCACTGATAATTAGACCATGTGTTTTGGAAGTGCAAGCATCTTCTACTTCACTCGTCATTTAAATCTCAGTCAGTCCAATTAAATTATGATGTCACGTTTTCAAATAAGAATAAGTTTATCAAACAATAACAGAATATCCATACATAAGTAACTGATTGCGCTTCTGTATTCTTGTTCAATAACCAAAAACAGCTACTTTAGCCATCAAATCATAACATTCAGAATATTGTAAAACATGGGGTAAATAATTTCCATCTTTATTTTTACTGCTATACAGTTTTGAACTGTAAATATCAAATAATTATTTGACTTTTTTTCAGATTTCTTATTTCTCATCATTCAGTATCTTTGTATTTAAGACATGTTAAATGAAAGAGTGAATTAATTGAAAAATCTCCCAAACAAGAGTAAAGAATGTAATGCTTGTTATCCATGAAAATATAAAAAGTAATTTATGAAATTTGATACGTCTGTTTTAATTAGACCGAGGTGTGTATCGAAAAATTCATAATATTCATTTAATTGCTACCAAAAAACGATATTATATATTTCTACATAAATTACTTTCAAAATCAATCTTTTAAAAAAATCATCACCAGATTAATGGAAAGTCTTTATATATTTACAGCCTGACCTAAAGTATTATCAAAAGACATATTTTTCGTTTTCCATAAAAGATATTCTAGATTTTGCAATTTGGCACGAGCTCGTTTAGAACCAATGGGAGATAACTCCGGGCACCTTGCAAACCAAAAATAAGAATAATTTTCATTTCCATCAGTTATGACTCTTCTTCTTTTTTCATGCCAATATTTTTACTTTTGAATATGTGATTAATATTTTGTAAAGGATATATCCTTAAATAGTGTGATAGGTATTGAAACGCAACAAATGAATAAGAACTATATTTTGTTGACTACGCTTCGGACGGAAGTGCGTATGAATTCTATTGGATACTGGATTGTTTGAAAATGGCGACCTCCGGTGGCGTATCGGGGCTCATGGACTTTGTTTCGCATTAGAGAATGCGCACAGAGTGCAAAATGGCGCTTACGCATCTCCTGATATCATGGTGATATTTGTTTGTTAATTATTTTGGGATTTTCGTGTAAAGTGGAAGAATGGCATCATCAGAAACACCCGAAGCGATGGTAAGTTGACGTCATGCACAAATATGCCGAAGATGTTTCACACCTACTGTCAAACAATGCTTACATGTCATGCATGATTAATCAAGCAATGATCACTAGCATAAATAAATCATAAACTAATATTGATTTTATTCATGTCTCACACCAGTATACAGCTGTAGGTTGTAGGTTCATGTCAGTCCTCAATTTTGCTACCGCTTGTTAACCCTGTATTAAATTGTTAAATTGCCTGTCTTGTTCCGCTGTCCAAACATGTATTGATATGCCCTTCACACGGAACTTGGGCTAACTAGGTTTTAAATAAATCGGTAATCTCTGAGTCCTAATCGATTAAGTAGGTACAGTAAACACTCTCTGTCTGCCTAATCCGAGTCCTGAAATTGTTCTGGCTGATATAATGCAAGAACACACACGCTTTTTATCAGCGAAGACAAACCGGCAATGAGATCCATTATACTATATAATTCACTACTATTGAATGTAATAATGAGTTGGAACCAATGTAATTTTGTTATTTTTGACACATACAGTTAGTTGGATTTATCTCATTTTGATTAAAAAATCTTTGTTTGTTCTGTTTTCTGGCCATTTCATATGGTACAACGTATATTTGTTAAAATCCCTAGATTCTTGATTAAGAATGTGTCTTTGAAAACAAATAGACATTAATAAGATACATTGTAAATAAAAATTACATTATATGGATGGGTATCTGTAACATAATTCTGAACAACCCTAGGGGTGTAGAACCAATGCCATACTTCTCATGAAGGTATTAGGACACCCCAAGGTATGCAGGGCAATTGAAGACTAGTAGGAACTAAGGAGGGGTGTGGTCATTGGCATCAAACTAAGGATCTTCAGTGTGATAACTTCATTACTACGTCAACCAGTTTCGTCCGAACATTTGGGCTTCTTCAGGTCCACTTCATAATCATGAACATGTGTGTCTGTAGCTTTTTTTTTTACATTTATGCTTTTAGTTGTAATGCAATGTAACTTATTAAGTAATATTTAAAGCTTTGTCTATGGGACTTTGTCACAGTCAAAATCATATTTCTTGAGATGCCCATCAGATTAATAGTAAGCTAGCCAATAATCTTGAATGCAGCCTGTTAAGAGGTGAAAAATTTTGTTTGGCATAGAAAATTGAAATGAAAAGCTTGTCAGTTAATAGCTTGTCATTGGCATTGCAATGTACATGTAGGTATCCTATGTTACATATACACAGCTAATTCCTTTGACTGTTTATATATGTGCCTGAATATTTTTGTCTGGACTCGACAGTACAACTGAAAATATGCCAGATTTATTATGATTGATTCCCACTATATTGAGAGAAAGTTTACAAGCTTTTTACATAAATTCTTTGAAGAACACTTCATCTTAACAATGTTTGTATTGTAAACCCATGAGTATGCTGTTTTTCTAATCAGCTATGGTAGGAATTCTGTCTGGCAATAAAACAATAAAGATTGCAACTGTAAAGAAAGTTCATATATATATCAATAGAAAACTGGACATGTCTGTACATATCAGTATATCTCTATAGATCACTGTGAATTGTTTCATAGCTGGATCCCTTATGATAATCTGAGTAAACATTATTGGATAAAACTCTACCATTTATGGTATCACTTGTAACTGTTTAAGATCTCATTTACAATGAGTTACCTAGTTTAGATATAAGGATAATATTAAGTCAAATGCTCAAGAGAATAGAAAACAAGAATATGTGGCATTTTTTATTTGGCAAAAACTTTTCTCAGCTTTGCTATTCACTTCCAACTATTGTAGTTACAATACCAAAGAGTCCATTCCAATTGTGGGGTCTGTAATCTTGCTTGGTTAAACGTTAGTCTCTGCAAAACTTAATTATGAATATGAGAGGCGCCTGATCCACTGATGGAATAATATTAACTTGATAATAACTCTGTAATCCTGATTGTTGAAATTAAATGTACAATTGTCATAATGTAGAAAATGATGAAAAATTTATCGATATTGAAAATGTGGCATCTTTTCTTTTACACTGTAAACCTGAGGTTCTTTAACTATCTGTATAACTTTAAGAAAATCATCAATGCAATAACGTCAGTTGTCAGCTTGTATTGTGAATCTTTCACATTAATGTTTGTTGGACAGGTATATGGTACACATTACAGAACATTTGGCTGTTAATGTTACTCAATAGATAATCACACTTTCACTGGGACGAATTAAGAATTTTTTTCATCCAATGAACATGAAACTATACATTTAAGGTATACAATTGCATAGCTGACCAAACTTCTTTTTTCTCAGAAGTTTTGTTGGGTTTCATTCCACATTATGACCCCTATTGTGCTTCTTTCCTGGCTGACAATTTTAAGGGTGGAAATAAATTACATATTTGGGATTGGAGGCTTAGTGAGCATGGGCCTATCTCTGGCAAAACATTTTACCAAGGCTTATCTTGAAAGCTGTTGAAATTCTCACTTAAAAATGGTAGAAATGTTGTGATAGGCATTCAACACACCTTTCTGGTCATTCCGAATGATTGAAGACTATTTGTTAAATTCCATTTAATTATGGTAGGGAGCTGAGATTGATTCCACTCCAATGTTTAAAACCTGTGATATGATTAAGTGGCACCTCTCATCTCTATGTAATCCCAGTCAATGTTTAATGACGGGAGGCCAGCAGGAATGTCAACACAGCCAGTTTGTCTCGAGACATCCTGGTCTTACCAAGCCACTATACCTATATCTTTACACCTGGTCAGTTGTTGGCCAGTACACAAAAATATAAATGTAGATGTACACTGGTTAGCTTTGTAGGATTTTCAATATCAGATATAAACTTGAAATTGAATTTTACATAAATAAGTATGTATAAAGAAAAACAAAAGAAAATTCAGAGCCTTGTTTCATTGAACCATTGTGTTGATTTAATCAAAAGATTTAAATACAAATATACCTATGTAATTTGATATATAATTCATATTTTGTAATTATTGAATTTCTAACTTTTTGTTTGAAATTAGAATTTACATTGATCCTAGTCTAAATTGGTATGTAGCTTTAATATTCTAGTGATTTTGTATGGAATATTTTCCCTCTCTACATGTCTAACAAAGGAAATTCACTGAAATTATCAGTTATAAATCATGCACCCTTTAATTACGGTACAAGATCACGCATATCATATTATGTATTACTAATATAAGCACTGGGATTAGGGATGCTTGGCTTCTATATATACCATTCCCTTTTTTGTCACATCCACCGAAAAAAATGCAGTATGTATTTTATAGAAATGAGGTTGTTACTTGTTCTTTGATTAACAGGTAATACCTTTGACAGTGTGAGTGAAACATGTTTTATCAATTTGAGAATTTCAATCTTGATATTTTGGAAAACATATATTCCATTATTGAAAATGTTATGCCAATTGAGGATTCTAATCCCTGTCAAAATTTTCCAATCTATACATGTATGCATGATTTGATTTTCCAAATTAAGTCTGATCCTGAATATATTAATTCTTCCAACACACTGTAGGTTAATTTCCCTCTTAGATAAAGTAAGACATGATACTCAATCCCTATTTAATGTAAAATTTAAAAAATCTTTAAATAAGCTTGACAAACTTAACATGTTGTTCAACTTGTGGTAAGACAAGTTACTCGATCCCAGTTGAATGTAAAATTTAAAAAATGCCTAAACAAGCTTGACAAACTTAACAAGTAGTTTGACTGTTACACTTTTGTGTACATTGCTCATTACATGTTGGAGTCAGACATTATTTACTTGACATAATGACATGACCAGTAGCATGTTTACTGATCTCCTGGAGATTAGTTCTTGTCTGAAGTATACAGGTATACAGTGGGAACTCACTGCTGGCCTTCTGTCTACCACCATCATCCAAATTAACGCCCCTGTTCCTGTAAACACCCCTCCCTCATGTCTGAAGTATACTGGTATACAGTGGGAACTCACTGCTGTCCTTCTGTCTACCACCATCATCCAAATTAACGCCCTTGTTCCTGTAAACACCCCTACCTCTTGTCTGAAGTATACTGGTATACAGTGGGAACTCACTGCTGGCCTTCTGTCTACCACCATCATCCAAATTAACGCCCCTGTTCCTGTAAACACCCCTCCCTCATGTCTGAAGTATACTGGTATACAGTCGGAACTCACTGCTGTCCTTCTGTCTACCACCATCATCCAAATTAACGCCCCTGTTCCTGTAAACACCCCTCCCTCTTGTCTGAAGTATACTGGTATACAGTGGGAACTCACTGCTGGCCTTCTGTCTACCACCATCATCCAAATTAAGGCCCCTGTTCCTGTAAACACCCTTCCCTCATGTCTGAAGTATACTGTATACAGTGGGAACTCACTGCTGGCCTTCTGTCTACTATCATCATCCTAATTAACGCCCCTGTTCCTGTAAACACCCTTCCCTCATGTCTGAAGTATACTGGTATACAGTGGGAACTCACTGCTGGCCTTCTGTCTACCACCATCATCCGAATTAATGCCCCTGATCCTGTAAACACCCCTCCCTCTTGTCTGAAGTATACTGGTATACAGTGAGAACTCACTGCTGTCCTTCTGTCTACCACCATCATCCTAATTAACACCCCTGTTCCTTTAAACACCCCTCCCTCTTGTCTGAAGTATACTGGTATACAGTGGAACCTCACTGCTGGCCTTCTATCTGCCACCATCAGCCTAATTAATGCCCATGATCCTTTAAACACCCCTCATTAATACCCCTGTACATATTACTAAATTTGTTCTGTGATAAAAAGAAGATAACCAGCCCTGTTTCAATAATAACTTGATAGGTTTATCATCAAATGAAACTTTAAAGAGATCCACAGGAATTTCAGAGAGAGCAAGCATATGAAGTACATGGTACAATATCAAATAGGTTTGAACATGTCTCAAATCTAATTGCAAAATTGATCTTACCTTCATTTTTTTTGAGATATTTGTGGTACCCTAGGAAATACAATTGTTAGATGGATTTGTAACAATTATAAGCCATATGCATTTAGCTCTGAAGCAAATGTATAGAAATAAGGTGTCATGTGATACAAGTGTTGCAAGTGTGGTCAACTGAGATATATGTTGGGTTCAGTACAGAGATCAGAAGTCAGATGTATGCATGTTTGTATGTACAGGAATCATTTCAGGAGAAATTATCTTATTCCCTATCTTTAGCTATCATGCTATCATCAAATTGAATAGCAAAGGTCCAGAGAATCAATTTTTCATCTGTGTGTATATCATCTTAATTCAAGCATACTTCAGATTCCATTACATGATTAGATGAGGCAACTAATGTGGACACTACTTCATCATAAGTTTATATTGTGTATGTCTCAATGCATTGATATTAAACTTGATGGTGTGTATACTAAATTTTGTGATTAGTCTGTATATCAAATGATCCTTAAATTTAAAATGTTAAAATTTAGAAATTCGGTGATCAGCTATTCCCAACTAATCTTTTACAGCCATTTTGTTTTTTTATTTTTTATGTTTCAACGTTCATCATCTGATTATCTTGTCAACACTATTCAATCTTTTTATTACAAAATGTACCTTCCAACTAACTTTTTATTTGCTATAAAAGTATCAAAATTTTGACGCTAGAATGTTGTGCTATGATTAAAATGTTTTAACTATTTTTTTGTAGGAGTTGGAGAGTCCTGAAGACATTCGCCGCGAGATCGACCAGAAGCTGGAAGAGGATGGTATGTCTCCAGACTGTACAGATGAGGACAAACTTCTTCTGGTGTGGAAACTTTATCAGCACACTGAGGTAAGTACACTGGGAGAGTAACTTAGTGATATCATTGTTTGGTTACTGGTATGTTTTCAGTAATCACTTGACAAATCTGGAATTTAGAAATGCATACATATATTGTAAAAGAGACAGGAGTATAGTGACTATATTGTGCCTGTTGCTTTAAGTGAAAATAAGAAATAAAAATATTCTGTAGATTTTTGTTGAAAAAAATTCATTTGAAGTCAGTTAAACCTGAGTCAGTGTTAAAATGTAGTAATGTATTTGTGTCAAAAAGGACCAATTAAGAATGATACATGTACAACATGTTACCTAATTTAAACAAAAATAGCTGAGGACAAAGATGTTTGACAAACACTTAAACACTGTTGAATGGGGGCACTTGAGAGAAATGCTTAATTGAAGATTGTTCGATTGACTAATCTTACCCCAGTTTCAAGATAGAAGTATCAAAATCTTCAAATGTGTTTGTCAATTGCCATCAGACATTCTCGTTTCAGAACAGGTAAACGGTACATACATGTAAGAACTCTGGTTGGTTCTCACAGAATATCTTCATATATAATTATCATACTTCCAACAGATGTAATATATTTTGTTCAATACATTAATTCCTAAAAGGCGACCCTCTAGAGAGTGAAGAATGACATAGTGTTCGCTGATTGTGAATATTTGAGTTTGACATTTAAAAATATTGATGAGTTATAACCATCAATTTCAAATCCATTCAAGATTGAAAGTAAATTCTAACCCCAATTTGAAAATAATTTAAGAGGATTGGAAATTCTGATATCTTGTTCAAATGATTTTCTTCTTTGTTGAATCTGGGGTAAGTCTACATCATACAAGAATAATGGTGAATTTATCAAGTAATTTATTGGGAAATTGTACCACATAGAAAAGCTCAAGGCAGTGTCATACATTACACGTATAGAAGATAAACACCTCAGTGACAGTAATTGGTTTTAGGTCCCGACTTCTTTCCATAAATTTTTGTTAAATGTCATTTATTTCAATAGATTACAAGTATGCTTTTAGTCCGCCTTTTAAAAAATACCTGTCGATTTCCTAATAGATGGTTTCTTGTTTTTATCTTGTTAAATCTAATTAGAGTTAAATAATTGACCCCTTCCCTACATATGTGCTCACAAACAGATTATTTCTGTCGTCCCTCCCTACATATGAGCTCACAAATAGGTTATTTCTCTCCTCCTACATATGAGCCCTACATACATGCTCACAAATAAATTATTTCTCTCCTCCTTCCCTACATACATGCTCACCTATAAATTATTTCTCTCCTCCTTCCCTACATACATGCTCACAAATAAATTATTTCTCTCCTCCTTCCCTACATACATGCTCACAAATAAATTATTTCTCTCCTCCTTCCCTACATACATGCTCACCTATGAATTATTTCTCTCCTCCTTCTCTACATACATGCTCACAAATAAATTATTTCTCTCCTCCTTCCCTACATACATGCTCACAAATAAATTATTTCTCTCCTCCTTCCCTACATACATGCTCACCTATAAATTATTTCTCTCCTCCTTCCCTACATACATGCTCACAAATAAATTATTTCTCTCCTCCCTTCCCTACATACATGCTCACCTATAGATTTATTTCTCTCCTCCTTCCCTACATACATGCTCACAAATAAATTATTTCTCTCCTCCCTCCCTACATACATGCTCACAAATAAATTATTTCTCTCCTCCTTCCCTACATACATGCTCACAAATAAATTATTTCTCTCCTCCTTCCCTACATACATGCTCACAAATAAATTATTTCTCTCCTCCTTCCCTACATATGTGCTCACAAATAGATTATTTCTGTCGTCCCTCCCTACATATGAGCTCACAAACAGATTATTTCTGTCGTCCCTCCCTACATATGAGCTCACAAATAGGTTATTTCTGTCGTCCCTCCCTACATATGTGCTCACAAATAGATTATTTCTGTCATCCCTCCCTACATATGTGCTCACAAACAGATTATTTCTCTCCTCCCTCCCTACATACGTGCTCACAAATAGGTTATTTCTGTCGTCCCTCCCTACATATGTGCTCACAAATAGATTATTTCTCTCCTCCCTCCCTACATATGTGCTCACAAATAGATTAATTCTCCTCCATCCCACCCACCACACACATATACATCCACACCTATAATATACACTTCTATTTAATTTTTCTGCACATTTTTATTATCAAATACAAGAGGGATGACCTTATCACTATTATCCTTTTCTTGATATTTTGAATCTTACGTTTTATTTTTAATTTTTTTTTAATATTGATGATCTGATTTCCGAACAAGAAACACTGTGAAGATACAAACGCTGTCTACTGTACACAAATATATCACTTTCCTACCTAAACACAAGCCTTCTGATACTGAGGATAGTATTTTGACACATATTAAAGTGTCATTTTTGAATGTCTGCCTGAAGACAGAAGAAGAAAGATCTGTTGAAATTTTACACAATTATATATTCTGGTAAATAATAATTGTTTGTTTCCATCAGGCCACTCTGCAAACAGCCATTGAAAATGAAGAAAAGTTGAAACTCGCTCAGACAGCAGAAATGCAAGAAGTTGAAAACTATGTTGAACACATTCGTCATTTGTCTGATGAAAGAGAGGCTTTAATCCAGGAACTGGAGACGGAGAATGACCAGCTGAAGACAGACATTGCACAGCTGAGGCATGACCAGAATGGTAAGTCTAAAGATGTTGGGTATTGCATCTTGTAAACAAAGTCTTAAAAATTTCTCTGTGTAATAGGTGTTTGTGATTAAGGCTTCTGCAAACACGAATAGATCAAGTTTGGGATTGTCACTTTTCAAATTTTTGTTCTTTTTGACGAAGTTTTTTTATCATTTCTCTATACATATCAAAAGGCATTCAACTGCTGCCAAAATTACATTATACATTTATACGTATAGGATGCATATATAATACATAGCTAATTAATTTTGACTATTTCTAATCGAAATCCTGTCGTATTTCCTTTACAGTGGAAGCCGTACAAAATGAAACAGCTGAAATGCTTATACAACAAGGCTTGGACGATATTGCAATGGTTTCAACCAGTGAACAAATTGCATTTCTCCTTGTTGAGCGTGCCCGACTTCTTGATGAGTTGGAAGCCGAGCAAAGCAGAACATTATCTCCCATGGAGGCTATTACGGATGGTGAGGTTTCGGAAGATGCTTTGAAACGAACTCTTGAAAAGGAACGAAATGAACACGAGGAAGAACTCATTCAAGCAAGGGAGAGCATTCGTTCACTGAAGACAAATTATGAAGAAGAAATTAATGGACTTATGGATGAAAACAATAAACTTGAGGATGACCTAATGCAGACAAAAGAAAAGGTAATTCATATATTTCTGATTTTTATGATTGTCTTTCAACTACATGAATATATTTCTTCTTTCTATCAAGGGTACACAGTGAAGACAGAAACACTCTTCTTAAATACAATTTTTCATCAGTATAATGTAATTTTTGTTCACTTTTGCCCAAAAAATTTTCTCATGCTCATTGATTTAAAAGTTTCTGTTTTAAATAAACAGCGTTCCCATTCTATAAGGGGTGTGCTGATATTGTACAGCCAAATTCATTGCTTTGTATTCCCAATTCTTTGAGCAAACAGAGCTCGAGAAATATGTAAGATTTTAGTTGTTGGTAGTTCAGGTATTTTTCTTACTTTAGCAAGACAAAAAGAAAAAGGTACATGCTAAATTAGAATAGCTGGCAGTTGGTAAATAAAAAAATGATATCAGCTATGAAAAAGTTCTGAATTCAGAGACTTTCAGGGTTTAGTGAATCCGTTTTTATTTTAAATTTTTTTTTATATGTGAAGTAACTCGTATACACAGCATATGTATGGAGAAAGTGACATGTAACAATGCTCTAACGTTGAAATTTGTGGGTTGAAGAAGTTGCTAAATTAAATGACTAAGGAAAGTTTTGATAGCAAGTGTCCTTACTGAAGGTGATATTTATCTTAATTGTCATTATTGTGTTATCTTAAGTCATATTCTATTGATGAAAACCATTAACTCACACTAACACAAATAATATTTTATCGTTGGGTGTAGATAATATTGGTTTTCATTTTTTAAAAATCTATGAAAAATTTTAAAAAATCATCGCATTTAATCAGTATAGAATTTCATTATTTCATCCAATACAGAAATGACAAATTATGTTTTGTCAATTCTTTAAAAGGAATAAAACTTGTCTTTCTAATCTTTTTCTCCCATTCTCAATTTATGTATACACTAGGTTATATGTCTCTCAAATCTGGAACATTGCTATCGTTCTGTGTGCTATAAATGATAACATGTCATTCATTTATAAACCAGATCGACAATAGTGAGTTGCCCCGATGACATCTTGTAAAGGATATACGTATATATATCAGTATTTCTTGACAATACCGTTACACATTCAAAAAGTAACTCGCACAAGACCATTTTTATTTAAATTTTTTTAAACAATTAATATAATTTTATTCTATATATAATACCTATCATTTGATCAGTCTACATTGAATACTCGTATTGTCTTGTAAGGACGACATGTTATTTAAGGTTATTTGTTCAAGGTCCAGTGATTTTTAACTGGCTGTTAGATATTTTAACACAGTTGACCTACTTACGTTTGAAATTAGTTCATCATTATTACAAGACTGGTTCAATGACCTGTTTATGAGAACTTCATGCTGGTTTTAAGTCATTATATCCGACAAATATTTTGACAAGTTTATAAGTAATGCTTTTAAAATATAAGTAGTAGTGATTGGAGAGATTTATTTGAATTAACTTTTTCAAAACACAAGACCTTTTTCAGTATTCCTTTCCACTTAAAGTTAACATAATCTTACCATAATTTCTTAATTTGTAACATTTTGATGGATTTATACTTTCAAATCCAAGAGTTTTTTCTCAAGCACTTTGTCTTGACATTCAGGTTCAATATATCTCCCTTACCTTATGATATTGTTGTCTTCTATAATATATTTATATTGTATTTCTGACTTTGTTGATAGGGGTATATTGTATTTCTGACTTTGTTGGTAGGGGTATATTGTATTTGTGACTTTGTTGGTAGGGGTATATTGTATTTCTGACTTTGTTGGTAGGGATACATTGTATTTCTGACTTTGTTGGTAGGGGTATATTGTATTTCTGACTTTGTTGGTAGGGGTATATTGTATTTCTGACTTTGTTGGTAGGGGTATATTGTATTTCTGTATTTCTGACTTTGTTGGTAGGGGTATATTGTATTTCTGACTTTGTTGGTAGGGGTATATTGTATTTCTGACTTTGTTGGTAGGGGTATATTGTATTTCTGACTTTGTTGGTAGGGGTATATTGTATTTCTGACTTTGTTGGTAGGGGTATATTGTATTTCTGACTTTGTTGGTAGGGGTATATTGTATTTCTGACTTTGTTGGTAGGGGTAGATTGTATTTCTGACTTTGTTGGTAGGGGTAGATTGTATTTCTGACTTTGTTGGTAGGGGTATATTGTATTTCTGACTTTGTTGGTAGGGGTATATTGTATTTCTGACTTTGTTGGTAGGGGTATATTGTATTTCTGACTTTGTTGGTAGGGGTATATTGTATTTTTGTTGGTAGGGGTATATTGTATTTGTGACTATTGTATTTCTGACTTTGTTGGTAGGGGTATATTGTATTTCTGACTTTGTTGGTAGGGGTATATTGTATTTCTGACTTTGTTGGTAGGGGTACATTGTATTTCTGACTTTGTTGGTAGGGGTATATTGTATTTCTGACTTTGTTGGTAGGGGTACATTGTATTTGTGACTTTGTTGGTAGGGGTATATTGTATTTGTGACTTTGTTGATAGGGATATATTGTATTTCTGACTTTGTTGGTAGGGGTATGTTGTATTTCTGACTTTGTTGGTAGGGGTATATTGTATTTCTGACTTTGTTGGTAGGGGTATATTGTATTTCTGACTTTGTTGGTAGGGATATATTGTATTTCTGACTTTGTTGGTAGGGGTATATTGTATTTCTGACTTTGTTGGTAGGGGTATAGTGTATTTCTGACTTTGTTGGTAGGGGTATATTGTACTTTGTTTCTGACTCTGACTTTGTTGGTAGGGGTATATTGTATTTCTGACTTTGTTGGTAGGGGTATATTGTATTTCTGACTTTGTTGGTAGGGGTACATTGTATTTCTGACTTTGTTGGTAGGGGTACATTGTATTTCTGACTTTGTTGGTAGGGGTATATTGTATTTCTGACTTTGTTGGTAGGGGTATATTGTATTTCTGACTTTGTTGGTAGGGGTATATTGTATTTCTGACTTTGTTGGTAGGGGTATATTGTATTTGTGACTTTGTTGGTAGGGGTATATTGTATTTCTGACTTTGTTGGTAGGGGTACATTGTATTTCTGACTTTGTTGGTAGGGGTATATTGTATTTCTGACTTTGTTGGTAGGGGTATATTGTATTTGTGACTTTGTTGGTAGGGGTACATTGTATTTGTGACTTTGTTGGTAGGGGTATATTGTATTTCTGACTTTGTTAGGTATATTGGACTTTGTTGTATATTTGTATTTCTGACTTTGTTGGTAGGGGTACATTGTATTTCTGACTTTGTTGGTAGGGGTATATTGTATTTCTGACTTTGTTGGTAAGGGTATATTGTATTTCTGACTTTGTTGGTAGGGGTATATTGTATTTCTGACTTTGTTGGTAAGGGTACATTGTATTTCTGACTTTGTTGGTAGGGGTATATTGTATTTCTTTGTTGGTAGGGATATATTGTATTTCTTTTGTTGGTAGGGGTATATTGTATTTCTGACTTTGTTGGTAGGGGTACATTGTATTGTGATTTTGTTGACTTTGTTGTTGGTAGGGGTATATTGTATTTCTGACTTTGTTGGTAGGGGTATATTGTATTTCTGACTTTGTTGGTAGGGGTATGATGTATTTCTGACTTTGTTGGTAGGGGTAGATTGTATTGTATTTGTGACTTTGTTGGGGGTATGTTGGACTTTGTTGGTAGGGGTATATTGTATTTCTGACTTTGTTGGTAGGGGTACATTGTATTTCTGACTTTGTTGGTAGGGGTACATTGCATTTGTGATTTTGTTGGTAGGGGTAGATTGTATTTCTGACTTTGTTGGTAGGGGTATGTTGTATTTCTGACTTTGTTGGTAGGGGTATGTTGTATTTCTGACTTTGTTGGTAGGGGTATGTTGTATTTCTGACTTTGTTGGTAGGGGTATATTGTATTTCTGACTTTGTTGGTAGGGGTACATTGTATTTCTGACTTTGTTGGTAGGGGTACATTGTATTTGTGACTTTGTTGGTAGGGGTATATTGTATTTCTGACTTTGTTGGTAGGGGTATATTGTATTTCTGACTTTGTTGGTAGGGGTATATTGTAGTAGTGAATTTGTTGGTAGGGGTATATTGACTTTGTTGGTAGGGGTATATTGTATTTGTGACTTTGTTGATAGGGATATATTGTATTTCTGACTTTGTTGGTAGGGGTATGTTGTATTTCTGACTTTGTTGGTAGGGGTACATTGTATTTGTGATTTTGTTGGTAGGGATACATTGTATTTGTGACTTTGTTGGTAGGGGTATGTTGTATTTCTGACTTTGTTGGTAGGGGTATATTGTATTTCTGACTTTGTTGGTAGGGGTATGTTGTATTTCTGACTTTGTTGGTAGGGGTATATTGTATTTGTGACTTTGTTGGTAGGGGTATATTGTATTTCTGACTTTGTTGGTAGGGATACATTGTATTTGTGACTTTGTTGGTAGGGATACATTGTATTTGTGACTTTGTTGGTAGGGGTACATTGTATTTGTGACTTTGTTGGTAGGGGTATATTGTATTTGTGACTTTGTTGGTAGGGGTATATTGTATTTCTGACTTTGGCGGTAGGGGTACATTGTATTTGTGACTTTGTTGGTAGGGGTACATTGTATTTGTGACTTTGTTGGTAGGGGTACATTGTATTTCTGACTTTGTTGGTAGGGGTACATTGTATTTGTGACTTTGTTGGTAGGGATACACTGTATTTGTGACTTTGTTGGTAGGGGTATATTGTATTTGTGACTTTGTTGGTAGGGGTATATTGTATTTCTGACTTTGTTGGTAGGGATACACTGTATTTCTGACTTTGTTGGTAGGGGTATATTGTATTTGTGACTTTGTTGGTAGGGATACACTGTATTTGTGACTTTGTTGGTAGGGGTATATTGTATTTGTGATTTTGTTGGTAGGGGTACATTGTATTTGTGACTTTGTTGATAGGGATACACTGTATTTCTGACTTTGTTGATAGGGGTGCATTGGATTTACATGTAAGAAATATAATTTTTAAATGTATATATGTTCTGTATATATGTTCTGTATATATGTTGATGTTTGAATTAACTTGTCATTGTGGTTTCTGTGATACACTAGGGTTCCAACATTTTGAACTTCATATTTGTCTATATCAATGCTCAGGGTATACTATTCTCAAACGTTTTGCTCTGATCTGGATCTGAAATTATTATCTTTATAAGCCTCCCCTCCCCCCCTACCACCCCGACAAAAAAAAAAAAAAAAAGACAAAAAGAAACTATTAGACTGTAAGACCTGACAAAGCCAAGGAAAACAGTGAGTGGGCTTATTGCCAGGCATTATTACAGGATGAATATGGTAATGTGTTGGCTATTTTGATTATAATAAAAATTAATTTTCATTGTTATATTCACAGAGATAGATACATACATGTATGTGTCTGTTTTTTTGACTGAAATAACACAGAAATATGTATATTGATGTTTGACAGAGGTGTTGGTTCAGTATTCTGAAGGCATTCAACACCATAATGGTATTTTCTTGATAATATTGTGATAATCATTTCATGCATGATTTTAAGCAAGATTAAATTGGACTGTCAAACTTTCATGAAAGTCTTTAAACGTAATTTATACCTCTCCACGTGTAAGATTCTATGGCAGAAACACAAATATTTCGGGAGGAATTTTGAAGTATTTTCAGACTGTCAATAGGTATGCCTCGTCAGACAAAAACTAATTTGAAACACATTAATTTAATTGTTGTACACGTCAGCTACTTAACTATTTAATTGTCCTCAATTACTACCCTGGAGGCGAAAATGTGTTTGAAATTTGATGAAATATTGATAAAGACTTTCCCATATAATCGTAGTGTTTATCATACAGATCAAAGCTATAGGGATTAAATATATAGGAATACTTTATGTCAAAACTGTCCTCCAGGAATCAAGGTGTACTCGATAGCTGCAACGCTGTAATTTATTATCATACATTGATAAGAGTTTCAATAGATTTTTCGTATGTTAGATAATTTGTACGACTAGATTATACAGCTACCTTGTGGGTCAGATCGGTTAGTCTGAAACAGGTGCTGAGTAATTAATTAGAACCGTATGGCAATTTATCATCTACCCAGTTGGATTCCTTACATAATTTACATTGTGGCACTGTCTGAAACAGGTGGCCAGTATATTAAACCAGTTTAGTTATTAATTCACTATTCAGGTGTATGAAATACCGAATTTTCGTTAGAGTTAGTATAAAGAGAGAGTTTAATAATGAAATTGTTTTGGCAGAAATATGTCTATCTATAATGAGGGTAGATCTGTGTAGCTAGCTGTAGGATATGCTTCTGTATGGAGCTCGTTGCGTTCTGTCCAAGCAGAAGCTTTTGTAAGCCTATAGGATTTTTTAAGGGATAATGGAGAGGAAACGTATTGACAGAGCCATTACGATCAGCAATTTGAGACTGAAAATCAATGGATTTAATTGGGTGTTTCTTGGCGATTCAGAGTAACCTTGTGGAGTTGTAATCGTTGACAAACAAATAGAACTTACTGGATACTGGCAAAGTTTAATATTTTAAGGTACACTACCCGGGTGTTAGTAAACAACGGTGTTCACGGTAGCTCCCATTGATTCGGAATTTGATTATAAAGGGAAGGGATGACTGAAATTACTGGTGACAGGAGTCAGACGAGTTTACGGATCATGACTTCTAAACGGAAAAAGGTTGGTGGTAAACAAAGCAGGTTTATTAAGCATTATAAGCAGTATCAGTGTATTTTATATCGTTTTAGACATCTAATCTTAAACATGTTTTTAATGCAAATGAAATTTTAAACTTCATGAAACAACTACTGGATCATATTATGACATTTTAAGAGGAGACTGTGGGGTGATCTGGTGCATCAAAACACATAAATATGCTTGCTCGGCAGTTAAGACCATTCCTGGAAATATCAATATACATTACAACCAATGCGTTTTCAGTAGAAATGTATCCAATTGCTGTGGTGTTGCAATAAGCCCACCTCCTGCTTTGAGTCGGGGGTAATAAATTGGCCCCTTGGATTAGTACAGGATAATTAAGGTACCATATTATAGATGTCACGATGTTCAGAACCATGAACATTTTTCACAACATTTTAACATTGGTTTCAGCTACATATCAGAGTAAACTCTGTATTACATCAAATTCATGATATTTGCCTTTATTGATAAGTCAGTTTGTTGATAAACAAAATTTTACCCATTAATTTAAAAAAGCCTTTTCCTGAAAGCCAATTTTTATCGAAGAATGTAAATGATACCAAAGTCCCTTTTGTTTAATTTTTGAGAAGAAAATATTGGAATGCACTGGTTTGTTAAGCCAAATATCATCTTTTGTGTAGATGCATGCATATTGCAACCTTGTGTACTTTTGGTATCTTGACGTGACAAAATGGATTCTTATAATGGGCCATTGTAGGTGAACAAAGCATATTGTTACAAAATATTTTTTGTTGATATTTGTAACTGTAGAACTGCTAGCTTATGTGCCTACTTAATGCTTTAAGTTTGTTTACATATAGCAGAATCTATGTGGTTTCTGGTATCGTAATATTTTTTCAGCTTTTCTATCATGTACATGATTTTTATGGCTGTACCAGCAGGATCACAATAGTCTGTAGCAAAATTTTAGGAAATACCCGATCAATATAACGCAGTAGATGGACAGCATGAAATGTAGCTGGATTTACAACACAAGTAGGACACAGCTGAACAGAACTATACAGACAGATTTTAGGTGTTTTACAATTAATACAACATATAATTGTATCTGTGGTGTTGTATCTGTGGTGTTGTATCTGTGGTGTTGTATCTGTGGCGTTGTATCTGTGACGTTGTATCTGTGACGTTGTATCTGTGGTGTTGTATCTGTGGTGTTGTATCTGTGGTGTTGTATCTGTGACATTGTATATGTGATGTTGTATATGTGTATCTGTGGTGTTGTATCTGTGGTGTTGTATCTGTGACAGTGTATCTGTGACATTGTATGTGTGATGTTGTATATGTGACAGTGTATCTGTGACATTGTATGTGTGATGTTGTATATGTGAGAGTGTATCTGTGACATTGTATGTGTGATGTTGTTTATGTGACAGTGTATCTGTGACATTGTATGTGTGATGTTGTATATGTGACAGTGTATCTGTGACATTGTATGTGTGATGTTGTATATGTGACAGTGTATCTGTGACATTGTATGTGTGATGTTGTATATGTGACAGTGTATCTGTGACATTGTATGTGTGATGTTGTATATGTGACAGTGTATCTGTGACATTGTATGTGTGATGTTGTATATGTGACAGTGTATCTGTGACATTGTATGTGTGATGTTGTATATGTGACAGTGTATCTGTGACATTGTATGTGTGATGTTGTATATGTGACAGTGTATCGGTGACATTGTATGTGTGATGTGGTATATTTGACATAGTATAATTTTGTACTTGATCTACAGACAAAATTGAAATTTTCAATTAAAAATGTAAACTAATCCTTTTTCCTTTCCTTTCAGTTGGTTGAAACTGAGAAAGAAAACACAGGGCTGAAGGATGAATTACACCAGATGAAGTCAGACTCAGGTACAGACTGGTATTAATAGATAATCGCCTTTGCTAGAATAGATTCTTATCATACTGAAATGTCAACAGCTTCAGCGAAAACAGAATTTATTGATTTGCCGAAGTGACACCAAAATAAAGTTTTAAGTGCATTTTGAAAACTAAATTTTACTGCTAAATCCAGACATTTGATTATTAAAATCTGACACTAAGAAGGTTTCTATGACAACAGATGCATTATCCTAACCATTCAGAATCTATTTAAATACAAAGATAGAATCTGTAACTTCATTTCAATATGATCTGATGTTGACAAATTTCTTACATTTTGGATAAAAAGTCAGCAATTTCAGTTTGCTTCGTAATGCTGATAAGGTATGGTAGTATAATACTAGAGTTAAAAGGACTTTTGTGACAGTTTTTATATCTTTGGTTTACCAAATAACTTGTTCCCTTTAATACACAATGTATTACGATGAGGTGCTGTTCTGGGTCCAGATTTTTACCACTCCAGTAAATATTTCGTATTGATGTCAAACAATGTCTTTACATACATTCTGATATTTTCAAACAATTCTTGTCTATTGTAACATTGCTTAGTAATCTCGGCCACAATAACATTAACTACAGGCCAATACAATAGTCCTTAGTAATTAGACACAGGTAAAACTCAGGTGTGAAGTGTGCCGGCCGGCAGGTCAGATCTAACCCCATAGCCACTTAAATCTCTAAATGGACAGGTTGTGTCATGTCCAGAACTTAAATGACCGTGGCTCAGGACTTCTCTACATTTATAAAGGGACCTTGTTAAATTACCTAGTCTAAAACACTCAAAACTGTGGATAAATATGAACATTAATATTTCTTTATATCCAAAGGTTGGCTAAAATTTGTCCAAAAAAAGCTTTTGAAAACTCCTGTTGCAGCAAGTTTGTGTGGGTTTTTTTTTTTGACATAATTATATGAGAAAACAGTTATTTCCTATCTTCCTATGTAAAATCCTAAATATTTGACTCAAGTCACAGGTAGATGGCCTTGTGTTTATTGCACTCTGGCCTCGTGCAGTATAACACATGGTCAACTCTCAACACCTTGGGTCAAATGTCTTTGACTATTGCTTATGAAGGCATGGAACGTTTGTCTGCATGATATCGCTTCAAATATATTATCATTTTCTCATCATCTGTACCTTAAAGTTTAGTTAAAATAATATTTTGTAATCAAGCGAAATTTTTTTATTTTAGTGGAATACTTTTCAGGTGATTGGTTTTAGAAATAAAAGTTTGAATTGATTTCCGTTCCAATGCATGTTTAATACTTCATAAATTGATATAACCCTCACAGTTTGCACCAAACTCTGCCGTGAAATACTTCACTCTTCACAAAGTGTGTGATTATCAGAATTACTGAATTTGATCCCCAAAACGTATTTTGTATTGAACGTGGACCTCAACCTGTACTTTGATGATTAACAATCTCAGATTTTTAAATCTTCAGACATCGATGTTTATCTTTTTAACATTTATTTTCTTTAAACTGGTGACATCTGAATAGAAAATGTAAATGAAAATGTGTTTTTCGTCTTCCAAATTATGAAAGCACATCCTGTTCTCTGCTGCCAATATTCAATCTATTGTCATGAATCATTAAGCGGTATTATTTTCATAGGTCTTTCTGTTTGTTTTCTTTTTTTTTCTTTTCGAACCCTGAAAATATATGATATACAATAAAGCAAAATTGAATTACCTGTAGGCGTAGTGTTATAGGTGTGTCATGCTTTTGGAGTACCATGTGTGCATTTTACCTGTGCTGACGAGATCAATATGTACAAGCAGGGTAACGTAACGGTTCTTCAGAAATATTGATTGCATTTTGATAAAAGGTTTCAGAAGTGTCCAATTGTGAAGATTTTTCTATTCAGGTTTAAGTCTGAACCTGAATTTTCTCTTTAAGCTGAGCTTTGTGGTATTTCATACAAACCGTAGTTAACCTAATGCTGAAGCATGCTCTTTTCCTTCAGACCACCTACTATATACCAGGTGTAAACATTCTTGTTTATTATATACATGTACATATTATTAAATAGATGGAATGCTCACAGCTCACAAATAACCCGCCTCCCTAGTTTGGTCAATCTTTTAAGCTGGGGGTATGTATCTTCTCTAGAAATATTATAAAGCAGAGGGATTGTCGTTAAGTCTTTCAGCAATAATTTAAGACATTTATACTTATCATTGACGGAACTCTGCATTCCAAATAACTCTACACACTCTACCAAACAAACACTTATCATACAGAAAAAAGTGTTTCCTAGCTCTAAATCATTTGTAAAGTTAAGCTTCCGGATGGAAGCACTTGTCAGGGGTCTTACTTTAAGAGGAAAGTGTACCTTACGAGATGGTCTGACAGGTTACCTCACACCTCATCAGGTCCACATGGGGAATCAGACCCCGGATGTCAAGGTGAAATGCGAGTGTGTTACCACTGCACTGCCCAACCGCTTTTCCTGTTTAACTTACAATTTCATTTGAACAGAGGTCTGTGCTGTCACATTCCGAGGTCATTCGCCAAGTAGTTATCTAAATATCAACTATGTGTGAAAGTTGTAGCAGCTTCTCAGGTGGTACAGCAAATATTTGACTTTTTTAGTTTATCCCATTCAAGTGTTCACATATGTACATATCGTCAACTGGATTTGACCTCCTAGTGCGGCAGGTTGGGAAATGTAAATATTGATATTTCATAGTTTGGATAAGTTTTGTATTGAGTTACATGTACTTGGTGGTAAAGGGATTTGTGGTGTAGAGTATTATTGATTAAAGTTGATTAAATATCGATCTTAGCTATATCATGGTCTTATTTACATAGTTTAATTTGAAGACAGTATCAAAGTTTGGGAATGTAAGACTGCCTTATGAAGCATCACAGCCCATTCTAGTATATTCCCTCCTCTTCAGAATGAACATATGACCATATCTGTCCAGATATAGCCTGTACATGGTATGAAGCCCCCTTACATGTATTGCTGTGCAATAAAGTTTAAATAAATGAAATTTTCATCAGCCTGTAATAAGTCTTGACCCCCGACTGCAAGTAAGAATTTGGATATTGCCCTCAAGCCCCACTGGCTTATTGTCTTGTGATAAGCTCCCCTGACTGCGAGTAAGAATTTGATGTTTCCCCCACCTCCTCTGACTTATTGTCCTGTAATAAGCCCACATCTGGCTTTGAGTCAGAAATTGTATGTTGCCCCCAACTTCCCAACTAGGCCACCTGTTTTGGCTTATTGTGCAGTAATAAGCCCACCCCTGACTGTGAGTCAGAATTTGTGCCATGACTTATTGCAGGGTGAAAGAATTACTATCTTACTAGTTGCATCAATTACAGTTGGACAAGTTGGTTTGGTTATTCAAAGTTTCCATTTTTTTTAGTATACAACCAATAAATTGTGCACCCTCGTATTTTCAATACTTTAACTATAATTGTCAGTGTTAGATCTGTTAAATGCTTTGTTTAAAATTTGAATCTGTCGATTCATTTAATTTCTGGAACACATCTCTTGAAAAGATGGTGTGAATTTTTCAATAACGTTTGCTGCAAGAGGAAAAATCTTCTGCAAAATTTGACACATTAACAGTATTTCTGTAGACAAAATTATCTACTTCACGGTTGCATTAGAAATTATTTTTTTTACTTCATGTAACAGATGTGAAACCTTATTAGATATTAAGTTGAAATAGAAAATATTACATTATTTACACCAAGTCTACCTGAAGATCTTAACTTTTAGGAAAAGTGATTGATTAATAATACAAAATGAGCTATTAGTTTTAATGGAGGTTCCTTATTGAAACAGTGCATTTTGATATTGTGTTGAATCAGAGATCAATTTTCTGTCGCATTTTTGGTTCTAGATTCACGAGCATCGACTCCTCGAGTGGGGCGTCCTCCAAGTCCAGCTCGCATGCCTAATGATGTGGCTCTGCGGAACATCATTCAAGAAAAAACCAAGCTAGAAGGAGAACTCCTGACTCTGAAATCTCAAATCAGGACCTTGGAAACTGCCAGTGAAGAAATGACTCAGAAAGTGAGTCAAAATTAGATGATTTTTGTAACGCAAAAACACAATTTGGTGAAAGTGGCAAATAATTTTGTTTCATTCAAATTTTTAATAAATTGACAATTTTTACTTGGCTTGGTTTGGACTTGCTGGCTCCACAGGGGCTCCTGGAATAGTTTATCAGCTCCATGTTATCGTTTGATTTGAAAGACATAAACATTTTGACCTAATTAAACTCTTGAAGGAAATTGTCCGCGAAACAGAATCCTGGAAGTTTACATCTTATAAGCTAGGTACAGATTCATGTAATGACTTAAAATATCATAAGGCATGATATAAGGTTTAGCTTCTTTATCACTGATAAAGCAATTTCCATTTATTTATTACTTTATCTTTGTCATAAATAGTTGAAGAGTGTTGAAGAGGAGCTGGCGAAAACCCAAAGCCTTTATCAACAGCTACAGATGAAAAACAGAAGTCTGAAAAGTGAGATTGAGGAAGCAGAACAACAACTTGATGAAGCTGAGGTAGGTAATGGTGGATTCGAATAATGGGAGATGTTAAAGACCTTTTTGACAGCTAAGATCATGTGATATGGTTTCTGAAGGAGTTAATTCAGTCATCTATGAGTTCTAATTGGCTACGAGGTGACTAATTGGGAGCATTTAAACACTTTTCTGCAGTTGTAATCGCTGAGTGTGTGTTAGTTCTAATTTTGGTAAACTTTGATCAGATCTTTAGAAATAAAGATAAATCTGTCATTTCAGAAGAGGGCCTTTTGATTTTTAAAAGATTAAATCTACACACGTTGGCGATGTAATCTTTAAAATTGTCATGTCCGACATTTTTAAAAGATCTGTCCTTCAATTTCTTATGTAATTTAAATCAAGGGGGATTCAGTTGAAATAGATTTGTTTCTTTATGGGAAGTTAACATGCTTTTATTATGGAAAAGACTATAAACCAAATTTGAGTGGTTTTGTAAGATCAGCAATTTTTTTTTACAGATTTATTTTGATGTATGAAATGAAATCTTGATGGGGACATTTTTTTTTTTCCAGGGTAATATCGATGAGATAACAGCGGAGAGGGAAAAAATGAGGGAGAGTCTGAACTCCACGGAAAATGAGATGAAAACTCTCCGAGCGGAGCTCCAGGCATCTGGCAGTTTAAAGGTGGTTTTCTCTGATTGGTATAGTCTTCGAAAAATTGTGATGTTGTTTATTATTGTACATGTAGATAAACTTGGTGTTATTTCTGATCAGTATATTGGTGCTGAACATGATATCATTTTCAATCTACAGATGTTTTGATTTCAATAGTTTAAGTTCAGATGATATCAAACTATACTTTTGCTTACATGCCAGAAAGGCAAGAGAATTTGATAATGCGATGTCATTAATCAGTTTGACATCAATATTTTCCTTGCAACACATTCGCAATAATCATTACTTTCAAGTATTACTGCCAGGTAACTAGCATGCAGGTTTAATACTTCAAAGGAATGACCTTGACCCACTTTTAAACGATTTAGTTAACAAGTTAACAGTACAGGAACAATGGGCCTCTTGTTGTTATATTTGTTTACTCTGATGGAGTAAATTTGATAATCTTGTGGGTAGTCGGGTTACCTTTGCTTTGAGTGATATTACGCGATAGTGATGAACGAGGGGAACACACTGACTGGTGTCATTATTGTACACACTTTTGTATTTGGTAATGTTTTCTTGTGTCGTCCTCATTTATCATAGACGTTTTCCTGTTGTAACTTTTCAACCGAGCATGACACATCATTGATTGAAGTTGTATTAGAAATACCAGGCCATGTTTGTAGTGATGATATTTTTGCACCCTTCAACTGAGAAATTTATGAAGAGGCAAAATGATAACATGATATCTGAACAAGCAATGACCTGTAGAATTTCTTACCCTCTATAAGTCTAGAGTAGATTGAATTACGTCATCACACGGTTCATTATGTTATTTTATCATTGGTAGCGTGCCGTTATAAGGCAAGTGATTTTTTGTCCAGACGTAGGCGCACCTGTTATGTTTTTACTTGTCTGTTTGTTACGACGTTTATATCCACATTATTACATGGGACAAATTTTTTTGACTAATGTCTCATTATACAATTCGTAATGATGAGCTACTGTTTGAGAAAATGCTTAATGAAAGGACTCCAACAACTAAACCAGTCAGTAAAATGTGTTTCATTTCAAAAATAGTGCCATTTTAGTTCTTAGTTCTTTCTAAGTGTTTTGGATTTTAAATCATACTTTCATATGTAATAAAAAGTACATTTGTTAGATGTGAATTGAAATAAAAAATATCAAAAGGTTTAAAGAATTAGAAATTTAAATGCGATCGATATATGTTTGAAAGAGTTGCTTTATAGCTTCAATTTAACTTGTCTTACTGATGTCATCTGATACACCGTTATTCGTGTAAATTGTTTGAAATCGTAAGATTATTGATACGGTCGGAACTTTTTACTTTATCGTAGAGATAATTTAAATCATGTGAATCCTGAAATAAAATCTTCTCACATATTAAATACACACCACTGATAACATATTCTACAACATAATGATGATATATATACATATTCATTTAATTTGACTTGGCACTTTTACAAGTGTGTAATTGTACATCAGGTATGTGATTTAAGATTCTAATGGTTGGACGACAAGATGATTTACTATTCAACATAAATTCCTGAAACTTAATTCCTATCATTTGATTTAAATTTAAAAGTATTAAAGTTGGAGAACATTTTTTTTTCAAATGACGAGTACTTAGTGAAGATAAAAATAGGAGAAAATTTAATTGAACAATCAACTTAAGGATGAAATATTTGATAATGTATCATAATTCAGTTAGACAGAAGATTAAATTTTCTGTTACTATATAGGAGGGATAAGGTAGCATAACATTCCTGTTTCATTGGCCTCCTTTTTACAAACTTAACCTCCCCCATCCCCTCCCTTCTTACACCTCTCCTTGACCTCCCCCTTCGTAAGCCAACCTCCTCCACCAACCACCTCCCTCACCATCAACTCTCACTCCCATTCCATCCCCAACCCCACTAAAAATAACAAACACAAGGAGAAAAAAAACCCAGAAAAACAACCAAACAAAAAATACTGGATTTTAGTAAAATAAAATGAAATAAATATATAGGTAAAGAAAATTTAAAATAAAAACTGTATTTGTACAAAGATACACTGTATTTGTATGACATGAGATACACTGTATTTGTATGACATGAGATACACTGTATTTGTATGACATGAGATACACTGTATTTGTATGACATGAGATACACTGTATTTGTATGACTTTTTTTGTATGAACTCCTTTTGTTTTTTTCATTACCTTGTAATGTACATTATATATACATAAAAGTGCTGTCATCTCTTAAAAATACAAATTATCTGATGTATTTCAAAAATCAGCTTTACAACCAGAAGGGAAAAACAATCTTTTAATAACAGTTTTTTATTTTCATTATTTTTATTTGTTAGCTGTTACATTGTAAATACCTGGGTATGTATTTCAGTGCTCAGTAGTAAATCTTCAGTAACAATGGAGATCTTATGTATTTTAAAATACAAATTATCTGATGTAGCTTTACAACCAGAAGGGAAAAACAATCTTTTAATAACAGTTTTTTATTTTCATTATTTTTATTTGTTAGCTGTTTTCTGTTGGTAAAGGCTCCGTTTAAATTCTGTAGTTAGTGTTGTGAAAAACTGAAAAGAAATTCAAAGTACTGGGGTTAACCACAGATTAAAGTATTAAAATGTGACCTTTAATTATTCTGTGACATATTGTAGTATGGATTACTATGTAAGTCGTAAATATCGGTGCTATATTAGCGGTGTGCTCGGGATCAGTTTTATTGCTGTAATAGATCATACTAAATTAACTTTCCAGGCTTTGTGCCGGTTCTATATCACACTTCTGATCAAGGCCCCGAAACACTGATCATGATTAAAGTTTTTAAAGTTTAAGTCAAAATTTAGAAAACATTTTATTTTAATTTTTACATGAAGTTTATATAATTTATATCTTATACACACATATTGTAAATATGAAGAATTATGGTGACATTTGTGTGGTTTTCATGTTTTTTTATTTTGTCTTGTTTTGATGTCTACAGGAAAGTTCTCAGACAATACCCAGACGAAACTCAAACCTTTATAAAATATAATTACAGTACATGTACTTTCTTATTGAATTCATGCTTTGTATTGCAATTTAGGTCAGCAGGTCAAAGGTTAAGGCTGCTCTAAATACCAGTTGATAACTTGATTGAATTGTGACCCTCTTCATACTTCCTATTTCATATTCATTAAAATGACTTCCTTTGGATTTGTTTTTCAGTTCTAAAGAATAAAGGTCAAAATGTTTAGTACTAAGGTTAAAGGTCAAGATGGCTAGTACTGAGGTTAAATGTCAAGATGACTAGTACTAAGGTTAAAGGTCAACATGTCTAGCACTAAGGTTAAAGTTCAAGATGGCTAGTACTAAGGTTAAATGTCAAGATGACTAGTACTAAGGTTAAAGGTCAACATGTCTAGCACTAAGGTTAAAGTTCAAGATGGCTAGTACTGAGGTTAAATGTCAAGATGACTAGTACTAAGGTTAAAGGTCAAGATGGCTAGTACTGAGGTTAAATGTCAAGATGTCTAGTACTAAGGTTAAAGGTCAACATGTCTAGCACTAAGGTTAAAGGTCAAGATGGCTAGTATTAAATGAAGAAGATTGGTTTCATAAGGGAAAAAAAATCTGTAGGAATGGTTAAACTTAATTTAAATTGAAAATTTCCGTTCCTTATAGTTTGTTGGCCACACACACCATTACTTCAGTCAAATCCTTGTTTTATTGTTAGCGAAATCTTGAGACTTACACCTAAGATACACTGTTTCACTGTCCTAAGGCCAAAATATGGATAAAGAAATGTTTAACAGAGAATTCATTCAAGTAATCAAATAGATCATTATCTTTTTTTAATGTTATTTCAGGAAATTGTGGACATTTTGTCGTCAGAGAAAAATCAACTAACAGAAGAACTTGGTACATTGAAAAAAGAATTTGACGAAGTTTGTGTGGAGAAGGAAGAGTTATTTGAAGAGAAGTTGATGATGAGTAAGAGTGAAATAGAACTCACCAATCAGTTACATACACTGAAATTCGAACTAGGGAAAACTGCTGATCAAAGTGAATTTCAAAAACAATCTGAAGAACTTTCACGGACATTAGGATTATTAGATAGTGCAACGACAGAATTAGAAAGTTTGAAAAGTAACACGGAAGTTCTTACAAAGGAAAACAAAGATTTACTTAATCGACTGGAGATGACGTATAAGGAACTAGAGAATCTCAAACGTGAAGGACAGGAAGTAGCGAAACAAGATGTAAGTATTATGGGTAATCGTTATCATGCTAATGGATCGTGTTAATGGTGGTTTAGGAAATTTAGTTCTTACTTCGAGATATTTCTTTCTTTTTTTTTTTTTCATTTTTTTTTGTTTGTTTGTTTGTTTTTTTTTTTTTTTAAATATTTTCTCATTTAATTGGGAGCCTAAAAATTCTTTGTATTTTTGACAGATGTTTTGTATTCTAATGATCTTGTTTGTTTATTCATAATTTCAACCATGCTTCTAGATTCAAAATATTAAAAAAAAGAAATTGATCTAGCGAATGTTTACAACACATCATGAATTCAAGACATTCAAAATGTTTTCTAGATCCAGGACAAGAGGTACTCATTTAACAGTATACTTTAAATTTAAATTGTATTTCTAATATGCAAATCCCACAGGAGAAAATGCATAATCAAAAATTTAAAAAATCAAATTTTACATGCAGTTTGGTGCATTATAATGTGCACATGCAAATTATATATTATATGGTGTATATTCTAACTTGATATCATATAGTCTTACTGTAAATTGGTTTACAATATTCTTTATATATGTGTATTCATGTCTATTTAATGATGAGAAACTCATTTCATGTAAATGCAGTCTGGCCTTGTTCACCTATAATGAAATCAATACATACAATCAGAGACATATTTTGGCTGAAGGGAGATAACTCTAAGCAGTTTGTAATGTGTGCAAAAGTTTGGCCTCAATTTATTAATGTATTAGAAGTTTGAATAATTTGACGTAACATGTAAATTTCTTTCACATACCAGTGTGTAACTTATAGTCCAAATCTTTGTATGTTTTTTTCCCTTGATCTTCTGTTTTCAGCCTAATGTTGTAAGTTGTGATGATATTTTTGATATAAAACCTTAAATAAAACAACCCTTTCAATAGTCCTTGACTAACGCTTCATACAGTTACATACTGCTAACTTTTCTGTTTCATCATGATCATTTTCATTATAAACCCAAGGAACTATTTCTCAGAAAAATAATTTGGTATCTTTATACTACCTCTTATTTACAATATCATATTAAAAAAAAAAAAAAATTTTTCAGTTGTATATTTTTTACCTATTTTTTTCACTTCATTTGACTTTAAAAAATCAATTTTAAAAATCTTAAGGAATCTGAAAAGTAAATATGGAGAGATTTTTTTTTTTCGATCTGAAGAAATGTAACTTTAAATGAGATGCTTAAATTAAACACATTAAAAGGAATATTGAAAGGGTCAGTAATTGTCCATATAAAATCTATCCTGAGCTAGACTAGCTAATTATAATATTCTTTAAAAACAATTTCAAACTGTATGTAATGCTGATTATAACCTTCTAATGCTTTTTACCCTTCAGTGACTCATATTTAACTTAAATGATGAAGAAATTCATATCTAATGCTATTTATATGAATATATTTTTCTAAAATCATATGCTTTTTAAAAAAAACATTTATTCTATAAATAGTATCACAATCATAAAAGTTATAATTTCTCTATAGCCATTTCCACTAAATACATTGTATCCAACATGAAAAAAATTATATTATTTTCAAAAATAATAAATTTCTGTTTGATATAAGCATTAATTCTACGAAAATCTATACTTTACTACAAATCTGAGATATAAATGTAGAATAGAAATTAATATGTTAATTATCAACTTTCAACTGAATATACACTACACAACATATGTATATACCTCTTTAAATAATATTCTCTATAAAAAAAAAACAAACTTTTCTATTCACTCTTTATTTTTATTTATATACTAGAATCCTGTCAAACTGAGAATGGTTAGATACTGCATGTACCCGGTAACCCTAAAAAAGATATTACAAAGTTGAATCATAGAATATTTTGATACAAAACATTCTCTATAGTAAAAAAGTCAGATATTGCCTATATAGAACTTAGAGACTTGAAGTATTTAAAATGCACCAAATTCATTTACATGATTTCATAATTTAAATGTTTCAAAATTCCCTCCATATGTGTCTTGACAACATTTTTGTGTAATACTGCATTTGATCACATAAGTCACCAGTTACCTACTGAAGTCACCATACTGTAACAGTTTAACATAGGTTTCATTCCCTGGAGTATTCTACATCGGCTTAGCCATTCAGAGATTGATTGAGGCGTCGTAATATGATCCATGACATTAATTGAATTGAAATTTGCATAACAAAATGACTGCGCGTTTTGATTTTTCTTTCACATTTGGATTTTGAAACCTGATAGAATTGACTTCTTGATTTATGTGAAAAAAATGTCTTTAATTTTATTTTATATGAGATTTTATGAGACTCATCTTGAAGTTTGAATTTTTTTCTCTCAAAGGCGAGCAAAAATAAAAACTTCTTTGATTCGCTGCATAAAATCTCGTATGAAATGAAAACTTATTCAAAGTCCAATATGTATGTACTTGCATGTGTCCTTTATCCAATGTGTGATCAGTTTATGAATCTCCAACCAGATAATTTGTGTTTTTAAATGACATTTTGATGTGATCCTTTGATTTTCAGTGTATGCCTTATCATGTTTAATAATCTCCACACCTTGATGTAATGGTCCAGGATTGGTTACCTCCCTTTGATATATATTACTTTGGATATTTAGAAAATAGTTAAACTACAAGTTAAATTACAAGATACTGAAAAGATAGTGAATACAGTTTGTCATTACAGGAACTTCAGACATAATTTATAACCTGTATTTATTTGATGGTTAAATTACAGCAAGGGATTTGAATTTGATTTAGAAGATGATGTACAGAAGATTAAAAAATATATAAAAGTAGATATTAATTTTTATAACTTAAAAAGAATTTTTTCATACACAGTTTATGATACTGTATTTCTTATTGCGAATCTTGTGTATGAAATTACTTATTTTATCAGAAATGTACATATATATATATATATATATATTTATTTATAATTTACTAATCATGTAAATTGACTTATATAATATTGCTTTATTTTTAATGATCAGTTAAAGAAATAATTGTTAAAAATCCTGGTTAGAAAGACATTGCACTTCAACTGATAGATAATTGATTCTTAAATTATCTTCAAAAATTATTGAAACATTTCAAAAATGAAAATTGTTTACAAACTTTTGTTTGATTTTGTTATCCTACTTTGTATAAGGACAAACGACTATTGTACAGAAATATACAGACACTGCACAGGATGAGATTTACACCAAAAGTCAGCTGTACTTGTTATCTTTAACTAGGTAAAACATTACATTATCAGGAATATGATAATAACAGGATATTTTTATTATCATGAATAATTGACAATATAAGATATAATAAGACATCCTGATCTTAAAAAAAATGCATAAAGTATGGAAATTTAGAGATATTTTTATGTGTGGTATGAAACAATGTTTTACGGATATGGTACATATTTATATACATATATATATAATGTTAACTCCAATAATTATTTCTTTTGAAATTAAAGTTTAAATTACAACAAATTTTAATTCATTTCAAGTCAAAATTAAAATTAAAATTTGTTTATGATATTAAATCTAATATTTATTTTCATTAGAATTAAAATTTCATTTAAATTTGATTAAAATTTAATTCATTTCAAGTCAAAATTTAAATTACAATTTGTTTATGATATTAAATCTAACATTTATTTTCATTAAAATTAAAATTTTATTTAAATTTGGTTAGAATTTAATTCAATTTAAATCAAAATTAAAAGTACAATTTGTATATTATGATTAATTTAATAATTATTTCTGTTAAACTCAAAACTGAAATTTGATTAAAATTTGATCAAAATTTAATTTAATTTAGATCAAAATTGAAATTACGATATATATATGATGTTAAATTTAATAATTATTTCTATTTGAATTAAAATTCTTCATTATGTTTTTGAGAAAATATATTTTTCAATAAATAGATATTGTATTTGGTGAAGTGTTTGTTTGGTCCACTGTAAGAACCGTTGAAGCTAACCAGGTATCAAACAATTCTTTCTTTAACTCATGTGTTTACGATTGCAGTGTATTCTTGTTTAATGATAGAGAAAAATGGCTGAACATTTGAATTCAATCTAGGATTACTTTTGCCTTTTCATTAGATTATATTGGCTCATGTCAAGGACCAAAACCAAAAACTCTCTAAAGAAGTTAACTCGCTAAGTACTGATTTAGAGCACAGCAAGAAAGTGGAAGGGGATTTGAATCAGAAGCTGGTAAGACCCGAGACAATATTCTTTCAGACTTTCTCATTCCGTAGTGTTTATGCACATTTTATTCATTAGCGCTACACCTTGCACATTTGAAATTTATTTTCATACTCACTTAAGCACATTTTAATCGTCTAAATTTAAACTGTGTAAGAGTCTAATGGACTTATGTAAATAGGGAATTCACCACATCTCTCCACATATTTGGTATTAAGTACATTGAATGTCAATTTGTGTAGCCTGAAGTAAACTTCATGCAGTGAATTGAGTGATGCAAGATTGTACAGCACAGAAAATTTAATGAAATACACATCTCAGTCTGTAGATATCTGTCTGTAAATATGCATTTTGCATTTCAAATATCATTTTGAGGTCTCCGGGCATCTGATATTGTCACAATCATATCATACAATGTAAGATGTAAGCTAGATTCATCTTTCTAGTATTCATAAGTGTCTTAGTGTACCCCCCACCCCACCCTTCCCCAACTTCCATAAAAACAAATCCATTCTAACCAACATTATGATCAGTAGTAACATGTGCTGTGTATAAAGCATGATTTGCTTCATCTAACATAACCATATATGTTGCATGTTGTTTGTATACATTGTACATAATCCACACATACTCACCTATTCCTGTAGTGATCACCGTCAGTAGATGTAAATTAGGGTGAATGCCCCTAGCTGGGTAATGGTAAGATACTTGTTTCACCTACTGTAGATTACAAATTTCACCTACTGTCGATGACAAGTTTCACCTACTGTAGATGACAAGTTTCACCTACTGTAGATTACAAATTTCACCTACCGTAGATGACAAGTTTCACCAAGTTTCACCTTCTGTAGATGACAAGTTTCACCTACTGTAGATGACAAGTTTCACCTACTGTAGATTACAAATTTCACCTACCGTAGATGACAAGTTTCACCAAGTTTCACCTTCTGTAGATGACAAGTTTCACCTACTGTAGATGACAAGTTTCACCTACTGTAGATGACAAGTTTCACCTTCTGTAGATGACAAGTTTCACCTTCTGTAGATGACAAGTTTCACCTACTGTAGATGACAAGTTTCACCTTCTGTAGATGACAAGTTTCACCTTCTGTAGATGACAAGTTTCACCTACTGTAGATGACAAGTTTCACCTACTGTAGATGACAAGTTTCACCTTCTGTAGATGACAAGTTTCACCTACTGTAGATGACAAGTTTCACCTTCTGTAGATGACAAGTTTCACCTTCTGTAGATGACAAGTTTCACCTACTGTAGATGACAAGTTTCACCTTCTGTAGATGACATGGATAATGGGTAGATTCTCTGATCAGATCATTTCATTTTTTTTTTAAATAAACATGATTTTCATGAATATGAAAATGTTCAATGGAATTTAAGCAATGTATATAATTATAACTGATTTCCCCCCAGGAATGAAGTCACTCTTCGTGTTCTTCATGGATTTTTAAAAATATTCTAAAACTGCAGAATTTTATCTTTTACTGATGTACTGTTTGAAGCAGAAAATGATGTAAAATAAGAATCAGATAAAATTTTCCAGACTTCTATAGTCTAATGTCTAAGTGTTCATAATAACAGATCGGGAGTGACACTAGGCACCACTTGAATCACTTTGATGGTAATGCTTTGGTTTAAGGTAGCATAATCACTAAGTACGTTGTGGCCTTGTTTAACATTATATTAAGCCTTTCCAAGTTTTAGCTTTTTACACGATCGTCATGTCCTTTTTGAACTGATTTAAATTCTTATTTGTTTTTTATTACAGAATGATTTACAACACCAGCATGATGAAGCCAATGATAGGTATGTAGTTTATATAGTCCTGATTTCTAGTCATCAGACTGTCCCACTATCTAGTCACCAGTCATCAGACTGTCCCACTATCTAGTCACCAGTCATCAGACTGCCCCACTATCTAGTCATCAGACTGTCCCACTATCCAGTCACCAGTCATCAGACTGTCCCAGTATCCAGTCATCAGACTGTCCCACTATCTAGTCATCAGACTGTCCCACTATCTAGTCATCAGACTGTCCCACTATCTAGTCATCAGACTGTCCCACTATCCAGTCACCAGTCATCAGACTGTCCCACTATCCAGTCACCAGTCATCAGACTGTCCCACTATCCAGTCATCAGACTGTCCCACTGTCCAGTCACCAGGCATCAGACTGTCCCACTATCTAGTCATCAGACTGTCCCAATGTCCAATCACCAGTCATCAGACTGTCCCATTATCCAGACACCAGTCATCATACTGTCCCACTGTCTAGTCATCAGACTGTCCCACTATCCAGTCACCAGTCATCAGACTGTCCCACTATCTAGTCACCAGTCATCAGACTGTCCCACTATCCAGTCACCAGTCATCAGACTGCCCCACTATCTAGTCATCAGACTGTCCCACTATCCAGTCACCAGTCATCAGACTGTCCCACTATCCAGTAACCAGTCATCAGACTGTCCCAGTATCCAGTCATTAGACTGTCCCACTATCTAGTCATCAGACTGTCCCACTATCCAGTCACCAGTCATCAGACTGTCCCAATGTCTAGTCACCAGTCATCAGACTGTCCCACTGTCTAGTCACCAGTCATCAGACTGTCCCAATGTCCAGTCACCAGTCATCAGACTGTCCCACTATCTAGTCATCAGACTGTCCCAATGTCCAGTCACCAGGCATCAGACTGTCCCACTATCTAGTCATCAGACTGTCCCAATGTCCAATCACCAGTCATCAGACTGTCCCATTATCCAGACACCAGTCATCATACTGTCCCACTGTCTAGTCATCAGACTGTCCCACTATCCAGTCACCAGTCATCAGACTGTCCCACTATCTAGTCACCAGTCATCAGACTGTCCCACTATCTAGTCACCAGTCATCAGACTGCCCCACTATCTAGTCATCAGACTGTCCCACTATCCAGTCACCAGTCATCAGACTGTCCCACTATCCAGTAACCAGTCATCAGACTGTCCCAGTATCCAGTCATTAGACTGTCCCACTATCTAGTCATCAGACTGTCCCACTATCCAGTCACCAGTCATCAGACTGTCCCAATGTCTAGTCACCAGTCATCAGACTGTCCCAATGTCCAGTCACCAGTCATCAGACTGTCCCACTATCTAGTCATCAGACTGTCCCAATGTCCAGTCACCAGGCATCAGACTGTCCCACTATCTAGTCATCAGACTGTCCCAATGTCCAATCACCAGTCATCAGACTGTCCCATTATCCAGACACCAGTCATCATACTGTCCCACTGTCTAGTCATCAGACTGTCCCACTATCCAGTCACCAGTCATCAGACTGTCCCACTATCCAGTCACCAGTCATCAGACTGTCCCACTATCCAGTCAACAGTCATCAGACTGTCCCACTATCCAGTCACCAGTCATCAGACTGTCCCACTGTCCAGTCACCAGTCATCAGACTGTCCCACTATCCAGTCAACAGTCATCAGACTGTCCCACTATCCAGTCAACAGTCATCAGACTGTCCCACTATCCAGTCACCAGTCATCAGACTGTCCCAGTATCCAGTCACCAGTCATCAGACTGTCCCACTATCCAGTCACCAGTCATCAGACTGTCCCACTATCCAGTCACCAGTCATCAGACTGTCCCACTATCCAGTCACCAGTCATCAGACTGTCCCACTATCCAGTCACCAGTCATCAGACTGTCCCACTATCCAGTCAACAGTCATCAGACTGTCCCACTATCCAGTCACCAGTCATCAGACTGTCCCACTATCCAGTCACCAGTCATCAGACTGTCCCACTATCCAGTCAACAGTCATCAGACTGTCCCACTATCCAGTCATCAGACTGTCCCACTGTCCAGTCACCAGTCATCAGACTGTCCCACTATCTAGTCATCAGACGGTCCTACTATCTAGTCATCAGACTGTCCCACTGTCCAGTCACCAGTCATCAGACTGTCCCACTGTCCAGTCACCAGTCATCAGACTGTCCCACTATCCAGTCACGAGTCATCAGACTGTCCCACTATCCAGTCATCAGACTGTCCTACTGTCCAGTCGCCAGTCATCAGACTGTCCCACTATCCAGTCATCAGACTGTCCCACTATCATACCACCATTCAGTAGTTTAACAACCAAGTCATTCCTGATTGGTATCAGACTGAAATGATATTGTCTGTAAAATATTTGATCACAAAAAACTAAGAATTACTTCTCCTTTGAAGGTATAACAAAGAAGTAGAAGATTTGAAGTCAAAACTCCAGCTAACATTTGCTGAGCTTGGCAAATCAAAGACTCTACTAGAGGAACAATACGAACAGAATAGTGAACTACAGGATCAACTACAGGAACTGGAGCGCACTCTGAACGAAACCTGTCAGACCAAGAGTGCCATAGAGACAAAAGCCAATGAAGCAAACAATCTGGCACAGCAAATCAATGAACTGGAACATCAGTTGTTGGAGAAGGGTACATTCGAACAAATGTTTGAAGAAAAAAGGGACGAAATATCTTTATTAGAAAAAGAATTAGACGAACTGGAAGGGCTGAAGTTTGAATTGGAGGATACGCGAGAACAACTAGAGAAGGAACGTAACGTACGTCTAAAGTTAGAATCAACAATTCATGAGTTAGAGGAGGTTATTGAGGATCAGAAGATGGATAACGACAATTTACAGCAAAGTCTCAACGCCAAGGTAAGTCATCAGAAAGATTTATTACAAGTGAAAATTATAGATATTTTGCTGTTGCTTAAGGGACCAGATTTACTTAACCAGAATGCAAAAATATTTTTGATTGTGCATATGGTGAGATCCAAATCTGATTTGAATGTTGTTATGAGCCTATGAATGTGGGGGAGGGGTGCTTATAGAAATATGGGCTCTTAATGGGTTGAATATGGTAACAGGTGTAGAGATTCTACCAAACAATAATAAATACTGGGGTGGTTATTATGGGGAATGGTTAGTGTTGGGAATTAGTTGTAATTTCATGGTCAATCAGATTATCTGATCAACTGATACTCGAGTATATGAAGGACATACATCACCTTTTTTGCAATGATGATACATTAAGAAAAATTTAAACGTTAAAAAAGTTTAAAAAAGAAGAAAAAAAAGATATGTTTTGATAAGTGCTTAAGTGACAGTGTTAACTAATCTCATTCAACCAGATGCTTGATCACTTCGGAAGGTTTTTTGACAGGATCAGGTTCAAGGCTTTGTTTTTGCTAAATACAGGGAATATCACTTTTCATCTTACTGGTGATTGATCACGAAAATTCCTGATTCAAACCAGAATAACAGTTGTGTTTTGAAAATGTATAATGTAATTTATAACAGACTCAGGAAGTTGCAAGTTTGAAACATAAAAAATTAATTAATTAAAATGCATATGTGTATTAACAATGATTTTTTTTCGCTTGAATAATTCGTAACAGTTGTCTATCTTTAACATTTAAATTTGATGTAATGTTTTGAATGCCGGGCTTTCAGCCGTTTGTTTAACCTAAAATCAACCCTCATCTACCTTTTACATATGGAGTAAAACTTCAAATAAACCCATATAGGGGCAAAGCCTGTATGAAAAGTGTTCATCTGTATGTTTGTTTATCGTATCAGTTTCTGTCCCTTCAGGTCCTGAGATCAAAATCTCTATTAAATAGAAAGAAGGTTTATGCAAAATACATCTAGTCCTGTTAGGTAGTTCATTACTTCTTCAAGGAAGTGCTAGCTTTAAAGTACCTTTCATGTTCAGAGGTCAAAGTTCACTATTACCATAAACAGAAATCATAATTTATGTACTACAAAAATTATTTCATACGTGAATGTAGGCCGTCAGTATGTACTTACGGCATAATGAAATATCATTCACTGAAATAAAAAGGTCATGCAACCATAAGTCAAGGTCATCAGTTCAAAGTTTAAGGTCAATTTTGAAATACTAATACAGGTCAAGTCATCAGGTCAAAGATGTAGAGCAAAGGTCACAAGCAAATTTTTGTAACTTAAAAAAATAAAAAAAACAAACAAAAAAACAAACAAACAAAAAATCAGTATCCTTGTAAAGCTAAGGTTTAGAGTGTGATACAATGTTATGGTCCTTCCTGATGAGTTTCAGGGTGCTTAGTTTATTTTGGAAAAAACTTAAAACAGTTCTCATTATGTATAAATGATTATACATTGTGCTAAAATTTGATTGTATTAATTGTTATTCTGTATGTTGTACATATCAAGGATTTACAAGTTTGGGAATTCACCACTACTCTAATCTACTTATAATTATTGATATTATGACAAATTGAAAAGGGATGGACTCAAGTGATAAGATAACAGTAAAAACTAAATATTTATCGTGAGAAAATCTTGCAAAACTATAAAAAAAAAAAGAAAAAAAATAGAATAAAATTTTTTTTTTTCAAAGTATATGAAATGAAAAATGAATAGAATATAGAAGAAGGGGATATCATAAGAATGAATACCTTAATATTTATGATAGTATGATGGATTCATGTTTTTGTTGGTTTGTGTGTTGTTTATTTTTAAAACTACTAACAGTTTGTCATTATTTTGTGGCTATTTTCAGCTAAAAACTTATGAAAATCGTGTGAAGGCTTTACAAGATGATTTGTTTGCTGCCCAAGATGAGATTCAAACAATGCAGGACACACATGAAAAGGTGGGATAACTTCATATCTGGTTTATAGGGCTACTTAATACAGTCAAACTTCTAAGGATTAGTGTTAGGAAAGGATTGGGTGAGCAGTTTATAAATTTAACATGTCAGGAAAGTTGAAATTGAAATATTAGAAGATATGTTAAATATGTATCGTACATCAGTTGGTGTGATGGTCAGAATGTTTATGTGTAAAGGTAAATGTTATGAGGTACATAGTGAAAATCAGGTGAAAAAGCAGCTATGAGATTACTGATCTATTTAGCAATATTGATCCTCAAAAATCAAGTGTACATGAAAAAGTAATTTTTGAAAAAGCGAAAATTATGCCCCACAAAAATATCTGATTTCGCAGCAGATTATAGCAGGAACTGTATACAGGTGGAAAACCTTGAAGGTAGCAAAGAATATTTGGTTCAAATTAAATATCCATGTTAGATAGAGCAGAGATTTGTATAGGTGAAAAACCTTGTAGGTAGCAAAGAACATATGGTTCAAGTTAAAAGTCCTTGATAGAGTAGGGACTGTATACAGGTGGAAAACTTTGTAGGTAGCAAGGAAATTTATGACATAAGTGGATGTTTTATTTTACTAGGAATTACAGAAGGTTAAGGCCACAACCATTGACCTCCAGGAGAGAATGCAAATTGAGAAAGGTCAAAGTCTTCAGGCTGAGGTCAACAATGCTAATCAAAGGATTGATGCACAAAAACTAGAGGTGAGTCTTCTTAAAAGATAAAAAGCAAAAACAAAATGAGAAATGCCATTGTCTGAAAAAAAACACTTCATACAAATTACTGTTCCCTCTAAATTATAAAAGTAATTTGTATTGCTTTATCAGGTGTGTTCAGGTGTATGGTTTTAAAGACGATGATTAAGGTAGAAGAACATGTCACCATTTTTCTCATGTATAAGAACTTTGGGCTTCTTTCCTGTAACATTGTTTATTAAAAACATTTTTAAAAAAATGGAACTTTTTAAAAAATTTGTATTGAAGTTAAACCTTGCTCCATACTGGGGTCTCTATGACTTAGATATAGATCAAACTGATAAAAACTAGAAAATGCCTTTCCTAGTAAAGATTTCTGTCATCAATAATATCATAATGTGATGGGATTGAAATCTTGCTGACACAGCATATTTTTACAAATATATTACACATGGTCATTTTGAATGAAAAAAACATCCTTAAATTTCGAAGGTGAAATGAAATTTTGCATCCTCCTTCATAGAATTGTCTTTCCTTTATAAAAAAAAAACAGAACAAACCAAAAACAAATGTTCATGTCCTTAATTAATTATGGATAAGGTGTTGACCTAAATAGATAACCTCAGGCAAAGATCCAAAGTGTGTGGTTCAACACTCCCTGCCATTAGTGGTTTGCATTCCTCAACGGTCCCGTCTGTGCTGACGTGTTTGTGTCCTGCGAAAAGACCTTTACTGCTCTGGATGGTATTCAAATGACTGTTTGTTGTTTAGTGTTGTAGTAATCTGCTACAATACAGATAGGGAAACCACTTCTCTGGATGACCCAAGTTGTTCATGAGATAAAATTAACATACAATCAGTTGATTATGAAAATGAGTCAAAAATATGATCACATCATGTTTTTTTGTACATGAACTGAATCAATATTTTAAAATGTGCAACTATTAAGGGAAATTTTTGTTTGTTTTGTTTCCTAGAATCTCGAACGACAAATAGAAACCTTAAAAATTCGCCTAGCAGAATCTAACAACGAATTAGAGCTTGTAACACGTGAGAAAAGTGCCAAAGAGCATGAGATCAAGGTGTTGAATGAATCTGTAAAACAGAATGAAATAGATGGTCGAACAGTGAACACTCTCAAGAAGGAACTGACCACTGCCCAGAGAGAGTTAGAACACCTGCGACTGTCTACAAAGTACAATGAAGACGAAAGGCAGAGACATATGGATAAAATACATTCTCTGGAAGATTTCTCCAAACAGCTGGAACTGGACAACAGGGAAACAGCCAGTAAGGTAAGGAACTGGACAACAGGGAAACAGCCAGTAAGGTAAGGAACTGACAGCAGGGAAACAGTCAGTAAGGTAAGGAACTGGACAACAGAGAAACAGCCAGTAAGGTAAGGAACTGGACAACGGGGAAACAGCCAGTAAGGTAAGGAACTGGAAAATGGGGAAACAGCCAGTAAGGTAAGGAACTGGACAACGGGGAAACAGCCAGTAAGGTAAGGAACTGGACAACGGGGAAACAGCCAGTAAGGTAAGGAACTGGACAACGGGGAAACAGCCAGTAAGGTAAGGAACAGACAATGGGGAAACAGCCAGTAAGGTAAGGAACAGACAACAGGGAGATAGTAAGGTAAGAAACACACTGTATGTGTCTATGACAAATGTGACTGAGTATTTAAAGTCTAGTTTTTACAAAATCACTTTGAGGAAAATACGTTACTAATATCATTGCAGCTTGTTCTGATTTTTAACTGTTATTGTTTCAGTTATCGGAATCAACGTCAAAAATACAGAGGCTGGAAGATCAGTTAAAGAGAGATAAACAGCGCAATTCAGGTAAATAATCATATTGTATTAATAAACAAGTGTATATATGTTATGTACAGATTTTACCATATAACATGTTCTAGCTTTCTACTTCATAAATAATATTTCTTTGAATGCTGGAGAAGATTCAGGTCGTGTATTCCAAGTAAAATGACTTCTTAGGGAATACAAAGTTACAGATAAACCAAGAAAAAGACCACTACATTGTCCCTATCCATGATGACAAGCACAGGGATTAATCTAGACAAATTTCACTACCAGGAAAGGGTACTATTCTTCAAGTGGTTTGTTTTCCCTTCTGAATATAAACAAATTCCCCATAAAGAAAATGTAGTCTAAAAACATGGGAAAATTTCCCAAAATAGAGAAAATTTTCCCTAAAACAGAGCTAATCAGTATATTCTGACTTAACATGTTTTTAAATCATGCTACGAAGAAAGAGAAATATAAATCTAACCTCAACATTGTCATATTTTGTTTGTGTAGTCTTCATGTATGCCATCTAGTTTTACCCTATCCGGCTTTGGACCATAAAGGGCCGTCCAAAATTATTCCTTTTCTCAAATTTACCCGTAAATTCTCCTTCTTCCACAATTGGTAGTATTCCCAAAGTTCTAGATTAATCCATGAAGCATTCAGAAAAATTGATGTTCAAGGTCTCCAAGATATGAAAACCAGGAAAAAAAATGAGATTTAAAGTTTTAATCAAGAAAATCTTCACTTTGGGATGTTGAGGCTTAAGGCCTCTAACTAAGGCTTCAGTGATGAACCCTATGGGATTGAAAAGGTTAAGGTTATCTAGGGTTTGAAGTGATAAAATCTGGGAAATAAAATTTAAAAAAAGAAGTCACAATTATCCAGGAAAATGATCAAGATAAATAAATGATAAATAAATGATAAATGATGAATAATGATCGAATCTAAATAAATGTTGGATCTAAATAAAACAAGGATATTGTTTCCAACAAAACGAGGACAGGAGAAAATTGGGATAAACCAAGGAAATTTGGGAAATAAAGATTACTAGTGTTGTGGGTACTTGACAGCCATTGAGTACTGCGGGAAATTGAAGTTCAAGGTTCCCATTGAATCAAGCACCTTATAAATATACTTAGGTTTTTTCAGAGATACAAGTCTTGAAAAAAGTACAGAGCGATAAGATACGCTGCCTGATCAGTTGAATGCTGATGTAATCTCTAGTCTAGCCATGTTTCTTCTTTACCCTACAGATAAGCAGTACCAGAGTAGTTTACATGTGACACAGGTGGAAAAGGACCTCGAGGACAGCACCAAACAGAATCGACAACTCCGCGATGATCTCCAGAAAAAACAGACCTACCTGATGAGGCTGGAGGCAGATGCTATAGGAAATGCTGTAAAAGAATTTAATAAAACTCGTAACTGGAGGGCTACTGTTTTTAAATAATTTTTTTTTTGTTTTCACTCATTAGAAATGCCACAAGAATTATTTTGAGTTTTTTGTCTTCAAATCTGATATCTGAACCTAATGATTCAGTTTGAATTTACTCTACGTTTTAAAGGAAAGTTATAGAAAAGCTTGTGGTTTATATTTAATTTAACAATGAAAAATAGTATAATAATTTCACTACTTATGATATATATCATTAATGTATCATTACAGCATTGAGACATCACACATGCCTTATATTAGAATTGTTTTCAAAAAGTATCAGAAAGTAAGCTTCAGAATATGGAGTTTGCTGAAATAGGCAAGATACTGTTATGTCATTGTGTATGTGTTTTCAGGCAAAGTATGAAAGTACAATAGCGAGGTTGGAGAGTGAAATGGGAGACATGAAAGCTTACCACAAGAAAGAGGTTGAGAGTACTCAAGACAGACTGGATGCTGCCAATAGGGAACTGGGCCATCTTCGAGAACAGCTCCGGGATAAGGAACAGGTCAGAGATCGTACAAATGATCGTGATATTGTAAGCTACTGAATAAATAATGCAATGGAAGGCAGATGAAATATTGGCATGGAATGTTTTTCATAAAACCATGCTGATGTGGAAGTAGGTTTTGTTGTTTCAAAGGAACTTTGAGAATTTGTACTGTGTATTTACATGATTGACAACATGTGCCTTTGTTTTGTCCTCAGGAGACTAACAACCATTTACAGGAGGTTAGTCGTTCCAAAGGCGCAACAGATCGCCTTGAGGCTCAACTCCAGACGGAAATCAAGATACGCACAGATATGGAAAACCGGAACACAGCTTTGGACCAGGAAGTTAGCAAGGTAATCTGAAGTCCACATGACTTTCTTATCACAAGAACAAGGAATCTTTTACAGATATAAGATAATATGGCCTTTTAATGATGTCACTTTCTTTATTTGACTTTTGGTTAATATTGAGATTTTTGTATGCGAGTGTGACTTTGTTTAAAAAGCCTTATCATGGTGCAGTCACTTCTCATCTGATAATTTTCCTACCACACAACCTGTGTTTTGAGTTAAGCTGTGTAATATCTAACTAGGCCAGTAAAATTTAATGTATATGTTCCATCAAACAAAAACTTGCTGTATTCAGTTTATGTCAGTCAGGGTGAATCTCATCCTGTCTTTACTCATGCCCACTACATAGTACCCATGTGTTAGTCATATATAGTACCCTGGTTTTAGGAACATTTTTTTCTTGTAACTTTTTCTATTGAAATTTAGCACAATCTGTTAGATATTTTATACCCAGAAATATAAAAGCTAGCATTTTTCCAAATCCATCACTAACTGATACTTATAATCATTTAAACCACAATGTTCCCACCTTCAAGTTCTTCCTGTGTTTTTCTACTCATAATATTTTGTGATTCAGGGATTTATTGAAATTATGGGGAATATTTCAGATTAAAAAAAAGTCAGTTGGATATTCAAGCATTATTTTTCCTGTTCTAATTGATGTGTTTTCTTTGACAAATTCTGGATATTTTTGTTTTCTGATACCCATGGAAAAGGAAAAACAAAAGAAAAAACTGTACAGGCAAAGTCAAAAAAGCAGAGACCCTGTTATATTGGTACACTGTCTAAATTTTGGTTTCAAGAGTTAGAAAGCTAAAGTAAAGAATTTGATGTTGGTAAGTTTGAATCTGGTGAATTCTGAATAAGGATAAGATGGTATTGAAGTAGCTACCAAATAATAAGTGGTCTGTGCCGTTTATTAAGGGAGACAACTCCTTGTAATCACAGGTGAAATGAGTATATAACCTTAGCAAAATTACACCCCCTCACACTTTTTTTTTAAAAAAAATTGTCTTCTATATCAATATTTAGTTTATTGACGATGGGAATTTGGATTTGTTTGTTTATTGCAAGAAGTTAAATAGATAGAATTAATATACCAGGTACTTAATTACACTACATAGCTTTTAACATGAGTTGGTCTCTATTTTTAGGATTCTTGTTACATTTTATGTTTTACAAGTCCCACATCTTGATAACAGTCCAGCTAGTCACTGACACTCCTTGCTCATTCAGTAGTTATCAACAACCTAGTCACTAGATTCTTGTTTACTTAGTGCAGCTAGATATCTTGCTAGAAATTTTTTTTTTTCCTTTTTCAAGTTTGATCTTCTTTTTAAATGTTCCAACGAGAAAAAATGCTTTTTTCATTAAATAATGTATATATTATCTTTCTTGAATGTATTTATTTCATCATGAAGTTGACTTGGTAACTATATGTTGCGTTTTGATGACCTTTAGATACTCTCGTGTTAATTCTACTGTTCAGTCTGTGTTAAAGTGATACCTTCCTTAACCTGTCATACTGCAATTCCTCATTATGTAATTGTTAATTTTTTTTGTATGTGCAAGATTTTTTTTTTTTATTATTATGAACCCAAAAGAAAATCAATATACAAATTAATGTCAAATTTTTATTTATGTTTATTTTGATTATTATTATTCATTATTACTAAAATTCCTTTGACTAGGCATTACTGGGTGTGGTATATTCACTAATTAAGCTGGGGTATAGGGTGCATTACTGTCATACTAATCACTGCTCTTTCAAAATTCATTTACGTCAGGGTACTGTAATAATGTGAAATTCTGCAGAGTATATATATTTCACGAATATTTTATTTCGTGTTTGTCTATCAATTTATTTTTATTTAAACAGGCACAACAGATATTTTCTGATATTTTAATTTGCTGCAAAATATTTTCTGGTTTTCTGGGTATTTAATTTTGCATTATATTTAATAACCCTGTACAGCCAAACTAGAACCTCCATGTAAATATTACCAGATATATATTATGTAGCATATATAATGTAAGTAAACATTAAGGTGATCAATGAACAAAAATTTAATGTCGTTTTAGATTTTTTTGGAGAAAGAAAATTAAAATAAAGAAATAAAAAATGAAGATGATGTTTTTTATTTAACAGCAAGAAAATTAATTTAAATGCTGTAACTTTTCGTGGTCAATGTTCCTGTATTTTGGAATAATTTTTATATACATCACAATTGATACATATTTCAGATTCTTGTAAATATGAATTTTGAAAAATTTTGAAAATATTGACAAGTGAATTTTTTTTTCCCATTTGATATAAAAAAGTGAAATCTGTAAAAAAAAAAATTTTCCTTCCATCAATATGAATTTATACTCATTCAAAAATTAACGAAATTTAGGATAATTTAGGAATAAATGTGATAGAAAATATTTCTAATTGAATAAATATTTTCTTCCTCAATTTTTGTTTTGCATTTATATGGATTCAATAACAAGCTTATAATCAAAAACCCAGTTTCCATGACAAGGACAATTGCTTTTTTTTTCTTTGAGAAATTTTAGGTAAGATCTCATGGTTTTACTAACCCTACATCAGTTACATCATTAATTTATCATCATATGCTATGCTGCATTTGGTTCATTCATTATAAATGTACTTATTGACCCCACTTTCGTTTCCAGATCCTGCGATCTAGGAATGTATGTACCATATACAACCATTTTTAGTTTATTTCATTTTTGTCTGTAATTGTATTTGTCTGGATATGGAACATTGTACTCTCTTCTTCTTTTCCTTTTATTCTTCAACAGAAATATTAATTAATTGTTATTGCGATATCTGTTTCCAGTTTCATAAATGATTCAAAAATCTTGAAAAAAAAAAAAAATTGAAAGCTGAAAAAAAAATAGAAAAGAAAAAAAAATTTGAAAGCTGAAAAAAAAATGAAAAAAGAAAAAAAAAAATTTGAAAGTTGAAAAAAAAAAGAAAAAAGAAAAAAAATTTTGAAAGCTGAAAAAAAAATTAGATTGTAAATTTTAATTTATTGAAAGAATACTTTTCTTTTGAAAAATAATAATTTTTGGAACTTATTTGAAAAATCTTTGTGAAACTGCAAATTTAATGTGATTTTTAATATAGACAGCAATTTTTCATGATCAAAACTCATATGACATTTGACATGGACTAATTAAAATTAAAAACTTCAAATATTCTTGAAAAATAAAATCAATCTAAAATGAAAAAAAAAAGTTCAAAAATGTTTCTAGAATTAGGAAATGATCATGGTGAGAGTGATAAATTGCTGATTGTACCTAAAACACCAAACTTCTTGTAAAAATATTTCTTGAAGGTGTTTTTAATCTACTTTACTTCTTTCTGTTCCTGACTTCTACACTGGATGTCTATTAGCTTTTCTCTTCATTGTGTAACTCTGTGCTTTATTGTCAGTCATGTTGTTGTCGTATCACCCATTGTACCGGGTAATTATAAATACCAGCATGAGATATCTAGACCTAATGGTTTATATCGATTATCAACACACCTTCCATGATTTTTATACCAAGTAACTTACTACACTTTCTACCATCAACATGTTCTGCATGCTATTCAGTGTAATTTCTTTTCAGCATCAATTGATCAGAATCAACATACATTGTTTATTTATCCTGTCAACTGTTTCTATCACAAGATATACTGTATCATACATTTGATTGATTTTTCATGTCATATGCATATTCATATTTTTCTTAATGAAATTTCATATCATTTGGTTTTCATCTGTTTCGTTCATTTTTTGTTCTTTAATAAATCATCTATTAATAATCATATTCATTTTAATTCCATTTCATTAAATTCTGTAATCTCATGTTATCATTTCATTCAATCATCAGAATTTTTCCTGGGTCATCATTTAAAATTTTCTACATTTTCAAGCTGTCCAGGAATGCTTTTGTGGATAATTTTCGCTCAAGTCTAAATTTCTGAGCAATTCCCTATTTTGCCATTTTTTTAACATAAATGCAAGACTTTTCTTCTGTTGATGTGTGTGGTAAAAAAAGCAAAAATTTTAAAGTTGCAGAAGAATCCTTATAATTTAACATTTTCTGAATTGCCGAGTCATTTTTTTCTTGGGTTAATTGATAAATTTCTTTATATCATTACTTGTTTAAAAATTAAGCAAAAAACGAAAAAATAAAAAAAAAAAAAAATAAAGGAAACAAAATAAGGCAGTTTGCACAGAAATCTGTTTGTGTTAAAGATTGATGTTTTCTCAACACATATTAACGTTTATTTTATCCAACTGATGAGTCTCATTTAGATGAAAAAGGGCTTAAATTTTTTGTAAAAAAAACCCAAAAAACAAAAAAAAAAAAAAAAAAAAAAACTGGTCATGAAAATATTGTTTTACATATAAAGCATGCATATTATGTTTTATTGAGGAACAAAAATTTCTTTCCTATTTTTTTTATGAATGGTTAGCTTAGAAATCTTTAAAAAGAGATAAGTATATGAAATTCAAAGTAATTCAATGTCAAATAAAGAAATAGATTGTTGTGAAAATAATTTTTTAAAAAATGACAAAATTGATATAGTTGAGTCAGATTGGAGTGATTTTATGTGACCTATATAACTAACAGTTTGTTTTGTTTGCAATTTTGCTGCTTAAAAATTCAGGAATGCTTTGCTTATCTACACAAACAAATATCTCGCTTTTGACTGTTGAGGTCATGTGTTTGCAAATCTTATTAAGCAATTATAAGACTTTTGGTTTTATAGAGATCATAATCGCTTAGTTTTAATGCTTAATATATTTATGATGGAGTATCTGTTGTGTTTTGTGGTAATTTGTGTGGTGACCAATATATATATAACACTATAGATAATGTATAAGGGCAGTGACTTTTATGTAATATACAAACTGTTCTTGTTTCTGTGTCATATCACAATAATTAAACCTACCATATCGTAGGGTTCAGTTTAAACTCTGTGAATTTAAATTAAATAAAAAAAAAAAGATTATAATTAATTCTGCATTTTGTAACAGCTTTTCAATATTGCTGTTGATTTCAGCTTATGTTTTGTATTTAAATATTGCCGTTGATATAACACTTCTCCAGAATTGCTTTAATACACCACTCCATTGTTAATATTTCAATACATAATTAATAATAAAACAATTTTATAAAACTCTCTATTTAATATAAATAAGTTTTGTTTTTTTTTTAAAAAAATCATATTTTGGTATTAAATTATATGATATAGCAAACCAAATAATCAAAATATAAGATAGATAGATTATAAATTTTTAAAGTAAAATTGTCTATAGACTGAAGTTAAGATGAAATTGCTCTGTATTTTTCAATTTTGATTTGAATATAGTGAATTAACGATCTTTTCCAAAGTCATGAATATTTTACAACAGATTATGAAATGTTATTTTGATAATAATTTCACACTATTACTGAAAGTAAATAAAACGGGTGTTCGTAAAAAGAAAATAAAGTCATTAAACATGACTGTGAAACTTTCTGTCTCATTGTCATGGAGAATACAACACCAAATTGTTCTAGTAGCTAATGTATTCTCTGATATTTGTCAGGGTAAGGGCTAGGGTTAGGCAATGTAGTATAAAACGCTGTGTGGCACTATATTATGTAAAGGTAAATTTGTGGTAAAATACTGGAGCTGAAGACATAATAATTTTCACAAAACCATTGATGTTATAAAAATGCAGAATAAATTACTTAAAGCACACAACCCATGTAGCCCTACAGCATGAAGGTGAATACTATTCCAAGATTTTAAACTTGTCTTAGTTTTAAGACTTTGGTATCGAATAGTTAATTGGATAAAATTATTCATATAAAATTTAATGTAAAACTTTCATCAAAATTTGCGTATGACCTGCTACATGAAAGCCTACAAAGTGTGCGGTTTCTATTATCAAGTATGTCCTTATTATTACTGAAAAGTTCAAGAGGGATGTAAGATCTGTATGAAGCTGAAGCTATTATTTGACTCAACTGTCTTTAATTCTAAATTTGTAATGAAAGATAGTATTCATTCATGTACAGTCCTCAATATCTCATAGTGAAGTGCATTTTTAATGAAATTTAAAACTCAAAGTTATAAGTTTTCAAATCTTCAAACATCACTTTAAAACTTGCTTGTATGTAGATCTCGGAAGATTTAATTTTATAATCATTTTCAAAAATACACAAAAGTTTTGTACATTGTATAAGGAAAGTGTTAAATTGGAATACTACCACTGATTACCTTCATTTCAGGTGTGGACACAGGTGAGAACGCTAATGGAAAAGAATTCGACTCTGGAAGCTAGCAAACGAAGTCTTGAGGATGAACTTGAGCGGGTAAGATTTGATGAGCTTCACGAAGTGTGTATATAATGAAACAACATTAGTTGGATAATGTTCAGACCAGAGATTAAACTTTATGTATTATCACGGATATTTCTAAATCACATTTTTCCTGAACAACCAACAAGTGACATATTTCTGATCAAGTGTTGATCTTATACTCCTCTTAAATATAAGATGCACAGATCCTCAGTATTACTTTAACACAGCTGCTCGTAGTAATGTTAAGTGATGGTTCTGTCGAATCTGTATCTTAATATAAGTTGTGTTTAGAGCTTTTAATTATTTGTCTAAGTTCGTTTTTATAATATTGAAAACCTTTTGTCAGGTTAATGTTTATTGGTTTTTAAACCATTGATAAACAAACACATTACACATTAAGTTTAAAGATTTAGCTTGCTCATAGTGTCAGCCCAATTTTCAGTTCATATGTGCAGGATGATGAAAATTATGGGGAAGTTTTAGTCATATTCTATTTCTTTATATGATATGTTCGATGCTTGTTAGTTTGACTGTTGGTTTCAATGTTGTATATCTTGTTTACATGACGGGTGCTGTCAATGAAACAGAAGATGCTTACTCTTCTAGAACACCTGGTCTTATTCTCACTGTACTATTTCAGATGTCTCTGTGTAAATCTTTCTTTTGTTCACATTTTGCCCTTGTTTTATGGAATTTGAGTTTGGATTATGATCATATTGACATGTGACATTTTTTTGTTTTTTTTAAAACTTGTTTTAAATTCAACAGAAGAGGTCGACAACTCGTCAATCGGAGACATCTTTTGCTCATTCGACAGCCTCTCAAGAAGTTGCCATGAAAACAGTGTCTGCACGCGCTGACCTTGCAGACAAGCGGGTAAGTTACAGATTTTTCTCAGAAATATTGTCGTCATTTTCTCAGAAATATTATCGTCACTACACAATCTTCATCCTTTCCCAATTAAATGGATCTTGGATGTTACTGATGAATTCTTTTTAAGTAGTAATTTGCTAAAAAGGATGAATGAATGTTGGAAAAAACACATTTTGAAAATGGTGAATAATTCACATTGATATGTGAATAGTGATTTAATTCATTTGTTACACTCTGTAGATAATATCATCTCAATTATCTGGAAGCTAATATTAGAATTCTATTTTTAGTATAACTCTCTTCTGTCCTTATCTTGAATTCTTCAGTTTCATAAACATTTAATTCACAAAGTGTTAAAACAGTTTTGTAATAATTAAAAATCAATGGCGAATAAGAAGAAAAAGATTAAATGACGTCTACCAACAATGTTTGTTAAGTTTGATATTCAAGGCACTTATTTCAACACTCTGACCATATGTATATTTTGAAAGAGCTGTTCATATCCATTTTTATGTGGGATAGTTATAACCTATTGTAGATAACGATCCTATGGTAGCTTGTTGATGATTCATTAACATCAATCAAGAGTAATTTCTCATGATAATGGTTGGTTTTGATCTAAAAAAACTTAACATAATATATGTTCAAGATTGAAAATTATTTCTGCGCAAGATCAGACATTTTCACTTTCCTCTTAGCAAAGAGAACTTCACCGAAAATATAGAAAAGGGTCATTTTGTCGAGAATTTTCAGTCGATGCTTTGGGTAAAATCTATTGACCTGCAGGCAAAGAGCTGAAACAAAACACTTTACTATACTTGTGGAAAATATGAAATCTTAGTTTCTCTGAGCATAGATATTTCTCTGAAAGTTCGACCTAACCAAGCTCATTTGATAATTCACTATTTGCACTAAATTAATCACTGATTTTGATTTCTAGACTTCAGTTTTTTTCGAAATTGATTTTTGTCATTAACATTCAGTAACTTTTATCTTATATCTTTTTAAACCATGCTCTTTAAATCTATTTTTAAAGGCTTTGCCTTTGTGCCATTTATTGGAACAAGAAAAATGTTTCTTATCGAGAAAGTCAAACACTACAGTGATTATTGGCACAACAGAATTTTTCATCAAGGAAATCACAAGTTTTAAATTGAAGTGAAAATTAAGTTTAAAACAAAGAAAAATGAATGCTGAATATTGATTTACATAAAATTTATATCAAGTTTGAAATTTTTGCCTCAAACTTTAATTAACTTTGAAGAGAATTTTGATGAAACATATTTCGTATACTTCTGAACTTCAAAACTTAAGTCTACTGTTTTGTTATGAAATCAGAGACCCTAGGTACTGTCTAATATCTCCTGTCTGTCTATACATTAAAGGTGTTTGTTCCAAAAGCACACACCTTCGTTGATAAAGTAAGTGGGTAGAAATATTAAGATGTAGATATCTTTCAATACACTATGTAGATTAAAGTTTTGGGGAATGAAAAATATTTCCTGTTTAACTTATTGTCCCTGTATGCCACAGTTAATTAGTATAGAGAGCAAAATAAATCTACAAAAGATTTCAAAAATATTTATTGTTACAAAATGTTGTATGTTTTTAGCGAGATAAAAGATGTCGCTAAGAAATATGAAAAAAAAAAATTTATGGTTTGTCGCAGTAATTTGAATTATTAATAATTAATAAAAACATAATTCATTGAAAGAAGGTTAAATTTTGTTTTTGGAGAAAAAAATTTCGCTTATGTCATAATTCACATATTTTATATCTCAGAATTAATTTCGCATGGAATTAAACAGTAAATATTGACTATTCTTTACTGAAATCCAGAAAACGTTGCTTTATTGATAAAGTCTAGGACGTGGTGTTCAGGGACGGAGATAGTTTGGTGTGTGCTTAGGAGCCATGTATGAGCTCAAAATTCTTTAAAATTATGTATTTGTGGTTATGTTACAAATATACTTCATCTCCTTTCAAAAATAATTTCCTTTACTTTCTCATTAGTTTTCTCACCTCTAAAATCTAATTATTTTCAAACACTGCACTTAATCTTCCTTTAAGTCTAAGCTCTGTTCTAAGCTCAGTAGGATTTCTGTTTTAAATCTATTCTTAAAATTGTCTCCATCAAGTTTCATCGCTAGATGTCTTTGATAACACTTCCATATTTGTCTTCACTCTTTCCTGTTTCATATTTAGTGTTTCAGTTTTCATATTTTCTGTTCAATGCTGTTGCTGAAATTGAGTATGTAAACAAAGTTTATGTTTTGATTTTGTTTTCATCAGACTTAAATAGGTGACCGTATCTTTGTTGATAGTCGTATCTCGTGCTAGCCATAAAAAAAAAATGTTTTAAGGAATTAGAAAACGTGTATGAACCTTCTGCAAATGAAAGATGTCAGTTCATTCAAAATTTTTCAAAATGTTCAGAACTGAAAATCTGACTTAATTTGGAATTTGATACAATTTTGATCTGTGACATATGTTCAGATTTAGCTACATATTTTGAATCAAAATTTTTATTCTATTTCTTGAACCTAATATTTCTTCGCTAATGTTGCCTACTGGATCAAGGCCAAGCACAATGATTATATATCATGCAAACTGATTTTGGTTAAACAGACATTGAAATTAAAGCTTGCGTTATATTAATCATTAAAGTCATATGGTAAGCACCACATCATATATATATATATAATATATAAGAAGTCTGGAAGTGAAATAATTTTTTAAAAATTAATTATCCCATTCGTTGTGATTTTTGTCACCTTTACTTTGTGTTTTATTCTTAAACACGCTAGACAGGAGACAGTCAATCAGAGCATGTAAGTCCGTGCACAAAAACCCAAACCATCACTTCAAATTTTGACTACTGTTCAACACTACAGTAATATATATTTGCTTTACCTGTATATTTCCACCTTGTGGGACACCTATTTCTCGCAGCAGTAAATCCTAGATATGAACAGATATATTTTTTTTGTATAGAGATTGTTTATGTGCTGTATTTCATTAGTACATATCGTTTGTAAGGTGGGAGCATTTTTTTTTTAATTCTTAAAAAATATTGAATTTTGTTTATGTTTCAGGTTATAAAATGTTTACAATACATTTATCTAGGAGAAATTCAATTATGTTTTATCTTTTTTAAAAATAAACAGTACACTTTACTAGTTACCTATCAATTTGTATTAATTAGGAAAACACGTAATACAGCTATCACGTATAACTAAAAAAATTTTATGCAAGGAGAGAAAATTGTGATCAGTATACTTTACATAGTTGAAATATCATTTAAAGAAACATTTCTATATTTAAAAGACAGACAAATTCGCCTTTTTTTGTATATTTGCCCCGTTTATCACTGGAAATGTATTATGTACTGATCTGTATCAAGAATAACAATTAATTGATGAAAATGATACTTAGATTGTCAAATTAGATGTCAAACACCAGTTTAATAAATTTTCATAATTTTAATGTTGAGTTACTTCAAATAAGGTCAAATTCATTCTGAACCATGCCATCAGTTGAACTGTAATTTCATTGTAGAATAACAGAAGCCAATTTGTTTGATAAAACTCGGATTTTATGTATTTTATTTCATATGTTTTATTTATATATATTTTATTATATATTTGCACACACCTGTTTTGATATTGTCTCAGGTTATTTGTATCTGTAATTTTTTCTGTCCCTATAGATTTTCTTTAATCTGTTTTGGACCTGTCTGTCCTCTTGCTATGAACTGTGGCTTTAGTGTTTATCACATAATAATGCTTCTACTTATAAATAATTTGATCCTTGGATGAATTTGAGAACAAATATCTTATGTCTAGAAAGAGGAAGCGTTTGGATAACGACTCAAGCAAATGAATATTAAAGAATTTATGTACAACATCAGCATTAATGCGAGGAAAACATTTCTTATTACATTTGTTTTTGCGCTTCAATTATTAATTCATAATCATAATTAATAGACAGAGATTCAAAAGTTAACACAAGTACTTACCTGTAATGTCTTTTCTATTTATAGGCAGAGAAACTGCAGCAAGAATTCAACGATGTGTCTTTTAAACTCCGCTCCGTAGAACATCAATTATCACAGGCTGAAGATCTCAAACACACACTCATGGATAAAAAAGAACAAATTTCACAGCTTCGAAATCAACTTGAAGCAGAAAAATTACAACGGTAAAATAACAAAATATATTATATGTCAAAATGAACAGACAGTTTGTAAAAATGGAATTCTTGAGAATGTGTATGATTTGATATGTTAGGTTTCAAAAATTTAATTGATGTATGATAAAACCTGAAAATGTCAATATATATAACGTACGTGTTGTTTTCAGGACACTTTTAGATCAAACTGTTTCGGAATTAAAACACCAAGTATCACTTTTGAAACAAAGAGAGTCAAAAGTATCCGAACAAAATCGGGAACTCCAGCACACAATTCTTGATCTTGAGTCGAAAATGGAGGACATGGCTGATCGCAATCAGACCTCATTGGAAATGGTAAGTTATGACTATTTGCTTACTTCAGTAATTTGAATTTGAAATATAAGACTTCTTCCCAATTTTACAATACAATATTTTAATTGTTACTTTTGTTTGCCACAATTTTTTTCACAGCTAAATGCCAATTGTCCAGATTAACTTGAATTTTATACGTTTAAAAACTTATTATCCAAGTTCTATTATTTCTTTCAAATTTAGAGCAAAATTTATTTTTCAGAAGACATTTTTGCTTAAATTTAGTTTCATTCAGTTAATCATATAATTAACATTTCAGTTGTTTCTGAAGAAATAATTGATTTTTATATCAAATTTTGCTACGAAAAATCTCCTTCTATTTATACCATATATTAACCATTGTAACAGTAATTTATCAAAATTTGTGTGCTTGGTTCAATGATATACGGTTTGAATTAGACTGACATGTTAAAGCATTTATGCCTACCTTTTATAGCTTTTGAATATTGCTAGAAGTGTGAAATATTTTACTTGATAAGAAAGTAATACTTTATATTCATTATATAGCTTTGTCCTCATGAATTATCATAAGAAGTTATGATTTCATATTTCAACATTTTAAAAATCATCAGGCCTATAATTTTGATTCTACACTCAATATTACTGTAAATCTGATTTGAAATATATGTTTTGTTAAATAAATATTAACATGTGCTTAAATATTGAAAAATGGAATTCATAACAAATTTGAATTTATTCTATTTTCCCTTTTTACTATTATTTAGGGAATTACACATCTGCATGGTCATTGTTTGAAATCTTCTTGAAAGAAAAAAATTAAATACCAAAATGACATAATAAGTGTCGCTCATATATTTACATATTTTTTTGTGCTTTGGCCAGGATTCAAATGCTTACTTAGGCAACTCCTGGGAGTCCAAGGTATTATAACCAGGAGTTTGACTTGCTAGCTTATAGTCGTTGATTTATCAGTAGTACAGTACTGTATGATGTTTCTGCTTCAGTGTTCTATCAATAGCTTCTGTCTGTTCTGCTACTGCTTGAGTTTTGATCTTCTAGCATCGTTGGGATTGAAATATCTGCTATCTCCAGTACTCCATTTAAATTCCCCTGATTTGATTGGTTTTGTGGTTTTGAAGATGAAGATTTTTTCCCAATGAATTAGGATCAGGATAAAGATAAGCTACTTTTGTCAATCAATAATGAATTACTTAAAAAACATAATCAGCTTTTGGATATTATTATCAGGGAATAGTAATATGTAAAATAACCTGTACTCTATTTTTGTCAAGTTAAGTTGACAAAATGAATAAAGACCGATACAGGTGATTCATTCAGGAATTATTTATGTTTTACATCGACTTAAATTCAGATAAGAAAGAAAACAAAAAAGGTTACCCTAGAGAAAAAATAAAAGTTCATGGTGCAGTGTGGTAGATGATAAAAACAGATATTTCAATCTCAACATTGCCTTGCTGTCTGTTTAGTATTGTTGAAGTTGTAAAAATAATGTTGAAGTGATATTACAATATCATTATTGCCATACAAATATTTACATAATGTTTTTTAAATGTTGATACTTGCGTGCGAGTTTGGTTGGTCAAATGTCATTTCATTTCGTTGTTTGGTTATACAAATAATATGAGTATGAAAGTTCTATTTCTTCCAGATGATGTTTGAAGTTACTGTTTTTAATCAGTAAAGATTTTTCATATATGAATTTCCACTGTTCTTTCAATTAACAGTACTTGGCTTATTAACAAATGTTTACAAATTGCTTTTATTCCGTGAAGAATGCATGCTTACTTTTTTCTGTTTGTTATTCTATTAGAAGCCTCAGTATTGTTATATATATATATTTTTTTAGAGAATTCTGTTGTATGTTTTGTTGTCTTAATTTTGATTTCAGTTATTTACGTAAATTTGAAGGAAGAGATGAAATAAATTTTGCTATCTGTACCAATATTTGTTCACAGAAATTTTGGTCTTTTGTAGTGTCAACTATTTATTTTTAAAAAATACGATGATTTTAAATGAAATTATTGAAAATTTGATAAAAACAAAATTTTGTTTACATAGATAGAAGGATTTACACTTCGATCAATATATGTATGTTTACATATCGTGATTTTACAACTTTTTCTTAGCAACAACATTTGACTGATGTCGGTAAGCGGTCATTGATGGATCAGATCACACGGCTGCAGAAGGAGGTTAAAGACCTTCAGTATGAGCTTCTAACAGTGAACGAAAGACGAGAAATTCAAGAGAGGAAGTATGAAGACCGTAAGATGAAGACAAAACAGAAACTTATGAGGGCAAGGTGAGAATGTAGATTGTGTCTATTGTGGATTAGAAAAGGGAGATAATTCTAGATCTTGGCTCAGTTGGCATATCAGCTGATTTATCAAATCAAAGAAAACGAAGTTGAGGATTTCTTAAAGTGTATGCATGCAAAGAGATTTGGAATTATCATCACACCATACAAACGGCACAGCTTTACCCAGAAGAAATGAGATTAATATTGGACATTATTAATTGGAATTTTTAATATGTAGGCCCTAATATTTAATCTCTCTGTAGGAAGCTATAGGCAGGATATAATTATTGCTGAATAGAGAAGATACTTACATGCTTTGGTCTCATATCACGTGTTACGCAAGATGTATATCCCTGTTCTACCCACTGTTTGATATCAGATTATTGTTTCCTTTGTAACCTGATGAACCTAGAGGTAAATCCTGTTGCAGGCAGTTCTTTATAGGCGTTCCTAACATGACTTCTCATCATGAATTGTAGATCTAAAATACAACATGATGTGATTTGTCTTTATTTGATTCTGTTTTAACATCATCATATCATTTCTGACGTTTTCATGTCGCCAAAGTACTGTTGAGAATATTGAAAGATGAAGCAAACATTTTAAAGTTGTTTAACAGAGAAATTCAGATAGCTGGATCAACGATCTCTCCTTCAGAATATTTTACTCTGATTGAATTGTATTAAAAAAATGGTGTAAATATTATTGATTAATGCAAGACATTTGCATTATAAGATTGTAAAACTAAGTTAAGTAAATAATTAATATGAATGTTTGCTGTTTAAATAGATTGTGATATATGTAGAACATATTGTGATTATATTCTTTCTATGATGGATCAATGTGAATGTTTTATGTTAATTCACTTGTTGCCTATACACAAAAAAATTAATTTTTTTAACAAAGTTGGATCTAAGTTCGATCCACTTGAAAAGATAATAGCATGTCTAAGTATGATTTCACAAATGTGATACCAATTCTGTATACGATTTTAGATTAATTTACTGCTGAAAGTGTTTGATGATACCAAAAAATTAAAAAAAAAAGAACAAAAAAAAACAAAAAAAAACTGAAGTGGCATTTAAACATAAGGGCCATTGATAGGCAATGTCTTCATGGTTTTTTCATGTTGAAAGAATATTATTAATTACACGATTATACGGATAGTCCTTAATTGTATTTACATGTGATGTATATGTACGTTTCTTCTCAAACTGTCGACTTGCCGATCCTCTTACTATGTATGTATTCTGCCTCTTTCAGCTCGGTTTCCCCGGGTGATCTCATTCGTGTTTGTATGAAGTAGGTGTAAAAGCTTACTATCACCCCTAGTTGTTTGAAATGTTTGTTCTTTAGAACTGCTAGCTACTTATTGGTGTGTTTAGATTCATATTTTCATTATTTTTCATTGTGTTTCCTCGTGGAAATATTAAAAACAAATCACTGCATCACACGATTCAACATAATCATTTGTTGTCTAAATCGAAGAAAAGTTATTCATTTTTTATTATATATATATATATATATTTTTTTTTTACGATTATATGGTGAAATTGAATAATTTTTTGTGAATTTCCTTTCTTTGTTAACATCACACTACACCCCTTTTCTCACATTTTCCTGTATACAAATTCTAATAATCACCGGCTCCTTATGAAAAGCAAAATCACATTATTTTCATATCCTTATGCATTCATATGGCTGAATGATGGAATTTAGGCAGTAGGTTATTTTTCTCAGAGCTACTGGTAAACCCAGGGGTTCAATATAATTTATATATTCTATTTTTGTCTTGATAATCTTTCTTTGCAGAATATCACTCTAATTTCTAGTCCGTAAATGTAGACATAAATGAGATTCAGAAATGTGATTTTGATCATGTGTGATACTTGAAATATAGCCTGAAGTTTTTCCTGCTTTCCAATGTGTCATCACCAATGCTTTTCGTGTCCTTATGTGATAGCACAGAGAAAGTTTGCTTCGCTCCAGTTGTCTCTGTAGACCTGGTTAGCATGATAGCGGCAAATGGTCACCATCCATTGTGCTTGAATAACACTTTTTTCCTTAAATAAGAAAAGTTGATTGAGGTATGATCAATGATTTTCAAGCTGAGGTATCCGTAGAGTAAATGTTTTACAATTGGTAGAACAAATAGATGAAAAATATTAACATGAAGTGCAATCTGTTGTAGGAAAAATTTCAGGGCACGATTTAATTTTCACTGATAGTGTTATTGTCTGCTCTTGAATAGAATTTTTTTAGTCAATGGTCATTAATTCTGCGAAAAGGAATACTGGTACTAATTGAACAGCAGGTCTAGTGGAAGCCGATGGCATGTAGTGTCACAGACAATCTCAAGCTGTTCCTGCCTGCCTTTCAAGTAATACATAGTATATTTTCATAGGGTTTCTCAAATCAGTATTATCAGTTTTTTAGAGTTTGGATTTTATTGTAGCATTGTACAGGAAATAAGATCACATGTTCCATATAAACTGTTTGTTAACAAAAAAGCAAATGTCAACTTAAAACACTTCATTAAAAGACAGAACAAAGTTATGATGTTTTCCTGCAGACTTTTCCTGTTCGAATGAGAACACAGGGTGTTAGTCCTGATGTCTTAAATAAAGTATTTTACAATCTGAATACTAACAATATACTTTCAGGGAATTTTACGCTAAAGAAAGAAACAGGATGACAGAACAGATGACTCGGATGGATGAAGATTTATCTCTGACGAGATCAACACTCCGAAAGGAGCTTGACTGGAAAGAAAAAATTGATAAAAATTACCAACAGTTACTCCATGAAAAACGGGACCTTTTATCACGGTAAGTGAAATCGAGTCATGTATATATATAAGTCTGTTTTAAGAAAACTTGTTCGATTTTTTGCATATTATGGCAAGAAATATGTAGTTTCATAAAGAAAACAATTATTATCTGTATTTGCGAGTTTAACCCTGTTTTATTTTATAAGAAACAAAAAAATTGATTACAAGTGATATGAATGTTATCGTCGCCCTCTTTGAAATGATTAATAGATATGTAACTTGTTTAACAAAAATATTTTTGCATTTGAAATGGAAAATGACATTAGACTAGAAATGAGCCAAAATCAAACTTACAAAGTACATTTTTATTGTGTATAGAAAACATCAGATCCTAATTGCATTTATGTCTATGTGCAAGTGTTAATGTGCTTGTGAGTGCGGAATTTTGTAAAGAAACAAAATAGTTAAGATGTTTTACACTACGTATTAAAGTGATGTCTTATATTTACGTGTTTCATCACAACACCTGGTGTACTATTTTTAACCCCCACACATTTTAGATCTGTTTCAGGTTTCGCTCTTTTAAGGTCTTCACCTATAACCACTTGCGTATTTCTCCACAAGCAGTTTTCTCACCATAGTGGCACGCTAATGCTTTCATGTGTAGATTACATTGTGAGATATTTACTATTAACCTCATGCAAAAATAAATCGCCCTTTCGAAATTGAATTCTTTTATGTTTACGAAACATGCAAAAAGTCACAAACTTACAATAAACACAGAAAAATGCGTATCAATGCCTTTCGTCTTTTAATTGCTGCCTGCATATTTTTTGTATCTTCATCTCTTCTTAAACCCATGGTAAACAGAAATTTACTATTTCTTTCCAATCTATTGTTATTGGTGTTTATTGAAGGAAACTCGCCTATTTATGCATGTTGTTTTGTGATTGTAACAAAAATAGCTTATTGGAACAAATACAAATATTAAAACCTTAACGGTAGTGTGTGAAATATAACATTTTTGTGCAACAATGCTATTTTTCGTATAAAACTATTAATCTGCTGGACAGCTCTTATTGCATCCTTTTGTAAAGGAGGTATTTAAAACGTTGTACAACCTTTGATTAAAAAAAAGATTGCATGCTAGGTATTTAAACATTTACTTTATGCATCACGAATATAACTGCAATATATATATATATATATATTTGCTCGTGATTGTATGTTTTATCATTATACTTAATTAGAATTTCAGAAAATCACATGACCTATCATTGTTAATACAAATCCCTACAACAAACACTGACATAACATCAAAACATCATTTTTAACAATACGCAATACTGTATATATAATGCCCCAAGATATACTGTTATTAAGTGCTTGTGACTGAAATGCTAACTACCGCATAACCTATCCTTAAGATATTAACGGATATCATCATAGAATCATACTTTTCTTCTGTTACAATTTCCATTGTATATCATTACATTATAATGTCATTTATCATTTTAATCCTAAAATATAAACCCCCCTCTCCAACCCTCCGAACCTCCTACCATTAAAACATTATTTCCCCATGTCATTTAAGGCCTAATGCTAACACAAAATATTAATTCATTTGTTTTAAAAACAGTGACCAAATATATACAACATGTCACATATGAATAGAATTCGTGTTGTCTGTCAATGCCAGAGTACACTCGATCGCCCTTTGATAAATATACGAGGCGTAATATTTGTATGTTTGTGTAGAACCTCCCAAGTTAATAACTGTATTTGACCTTCGACCTTCATAATGTTTAAACATGTTTTATGATATATTACAATATAAATATGTTTTCATCAGACAACGCTGTTTCAGCTCACTTTGGTAGAAATATCTTCGAACTCGTTAGAAAAAAAAATCACCTCTCAACAGGAGCGCCTATTCAAACCACTCTATATGATGATTCTGTGCATGTTAAGGAATCTTAAAAAATTGAGCTGGTCTTTGACTTTGAAAGCATGAAAGAGGGGTGCTAGGGCTAACAAATATGTTTTCGGAATACTGAAAAGAATCTTGTCAGAGTAGGGCTGTGATTAAGCAGAAGTGGAGTTTGATTGGATCTCCAATCAGAACAATTTTATGATTGATATGTCCAATCTTATCAGTAAAGCGTTCATGTCTATCATCCTCATTGTTCCTTTATCACCAATACTGCTTTTTAATATCTGTAGGCGGCATGTAATTGTCTTTGCTACTTCAGTTTATCTAACTTTCCTTTTAAAACATATGTACATTCAATTCCTCTTCCATTATTATCCATAAAGTTTTCTTCCAGAACATGGTATATTACCATACCCTTCATCACATCCTTTGTCTTACCTTATAGATTAGTCCTGCTATCACAGTTCCCGTTCGCTGCCTTTCAAGATGACTGTATTACAAAGCACATATGTCACCACATTGTAGTATACACACTAGAGTCTAGTCCAGTTATTATGTTTTATTATCAAATAAGATATATTTGCTTTCGTTTGCTGTTTGTTGTGTCTCTAATCGTCATACAACTAAAAATGTAGGTCTGAGAGACCTTTGCAGTGAAGTATTCAAACAAAGCAGAGAAGTAGTGATATTTGATTATATCTATACATTGATTCTTGTTGGAAATCATCGTAAAGAAACTTTTTTTCTGTCAGACTCTCAGAACATATCTGGATACATATAGTGGATGAATCGAATATTGATCAGAGGTGCTGTGATACAAATCACTGTTTTCGTCATGTAATTATGATTGCGCAGATTTCACATTTTGTATGTCTTCTTTGAAATCAAATGGTTTTGATTTCACCACGAGAATTTTGTAATTAGAGTTTATATTTAGTTGCTAATTTTTGTAAGTAATATAACACAAATGTCTCTTATGTCTTTGCAAATCCAGAAACTCGGTGACTATTTGCAATTTGGAGAAAACGAAATTTAGAGCTTTCGTAGAATATTATTGTTGATTCGTAAAACATATCTTGGAAGAGATAATTATTACGGAACAGAATAAAAGCAGAAAACAAAATTGAAACCAAAACAATGTTTGACACAATTAGTCATTGATATCATTAAAACCTCAAACACATACTTCGTGCAAAGTCATAAGAATTGGCAACTACTTGGTAGACGGCATGAGGCATGAACTTTATTTGGAAACTTAGTTTGCTAAACTGTATTTTTTATTTCTTTTTTTCTCAAATCGATGCAGCAGAAGCGATACAAGGCTTTGACTTCCGTTAGAGTTAAAGCCAATATCCACATCAAATTTAGTACTTACTTTGAACGATTTTCTTATGTTGTTAATTATTCTAATCAGAGAATCTAGTCCGAGAGAAATTCATCTCGATATTTGACAGAACGAAAATAACAAGAAAGAGTTTAATTTTTTTAATTTTGTGAATAAGTGGACTAATATGTTTGAATTTATATTATTTTTTGTTTATATTGAATTTTTATTTCAATAAACATCCAAACCTGATGATATTGGTCATTTGGGGCAACACCTAAATATCATTGTTAAAACAGTACTTACTGTGAGTGAATTGTCACATGGTGTGGTATGCATGTGAAAAACGGTATTTTCTACCACATGTTCCTTTTCAGTAAATCCTATACTGTTGATTCAAGGTCAATTATTTATTGAATAGAAGTGCTAAAGCAGGCTTTTGACTTGAGAGCAAATTAAAACATGATGGTTTGGCGACATTTTACCTCATCCTTCTCTGCTACGGATTTGTTTTGTATCTAAGTGAGAATTTAAATTTGCAGTTATACCAATTGCCCTTTGTGTTTTTGCAAATTCAACTTTGCTGAATGCAACAGTGTTGACTAACAGCTTATTATTATTATTTTATAGGTGTGGTAGAATGTTACCAACTCACGATTGTTGATTTTATATCAACTGTATAAACTTGACAAACAACCGTCGTTGGTTTTGGGATATCTATGTAGATACAAATTGCTTAAGACTCAACCAGGTTAAGGTTAAGACACTGTGCAAGCATGTAGCATAAGGTGGTTGCCATATTTTGTTATTTATTATTTCATTTCATACTTTATCTAAAAAAAATCAAATTTTGGTCGCTTTGGTAACAATTGTCCATTCTGAGTATCAAATATAAATTCCTAATGTTTTCGTCAGTTTAAAAAATCAGTTAATACATGTATATGATAATGAATTATGCGTTTTAATTATTAAGAATTCCTTCAAATATGGCAACAACACAATTGATTTGAATGCAAACCCTGTCACTTAATATCACCCCATCTCTGGGCCCTGTAGCTGTCACCCTTACCCCCGGTACTAATCACTGCCTTATCTTGGTCACCTTTTTGCAGCGGCTCCCCTTTCTTACAGGCTGGCAGATCAGGACGAGACTTTGAGAGAGAAAGGCCGTTCAGTATCCACATTACAAGTCCGCGCCAAGTACCTGGAGGACGAGAATTCACGGTTACTGGATCGTATCGAGCTTATCAACCAGCAAAAGCTTGGAATCGATAAAGTTTTGAAAGATTATAAACTGGGACAAGACAGAGAGGTACTTTTCAGTAAAAATTAAATGAACTGATTGAGAGGTCAAAACGGAAGCAAGGTTTGGTTTCACAGAATCTTCTGTTTTCACATCACAAATAAATGGACTTTTACAACAGAATACAAATTTAAGAGAATTAAAAATAAAAACATAAAGTCGTGTAATAATGCAAAATTTAAGCAGTTGCTTGTTTTGGAATATAAAAATATATGTTGTTAAAATTGTGAAGGAAAATCAAAATATTCATTATATTCCTGTCATTACATCTTGGTAGGAATGAAATCATCTCCTACATTTGCTTTTTATTGGTCAGTTAACTCGTTCACTGGTCATTTCACCGGACAGTCAGCATCCTCACAGCTTGACTGGTGGTACCAGCGGTCTGGGAAACAGCGTGGACTCAAGCTGGGCCAATGACTTTCGTGATAATAACATTCTACCCTTCCGGACGCAAACCACCAATGTTGATACTTACCTGAACCGGAACTACTCCAGCGGTGCCGTGGATTTGTACAGAGCCGAGACAGGAAGCGAAGATTCATACAGTCACGAATTTGATGCGTAGTGTAGAATGTTTAGTTTTAAAATTGGGTACACAACATTTCTATAAATCAAAGAGGTGTTCAAGTCATTCTGTGAAATATTTAGTCATCACAAGGCAAGCATTCGTTAGTGCAATGTGATCAGATGAGAGTGAAAAGTTCATTTGTTTCATTGAGTTAAATGTTGGAGGAAGTCGAGTCATTTTCCTCAGTAAGTAATACCAAGATATTTTTTAAAATGTAAGAAATGTATATTACTCATGGTGTCATTAGGAACGTTTCTGTCAATTATAACGTTAATTATGCAAGCATGAGTGCTAATTGCTGTCGTATGTGTTTAGAGAGCTCTAACAACATCAAAAGTAAGACGACTCATTCCTGTTAATTCACAGAAGCCTTTGTCCTCCCATCATCCCAACAGTACTTTACATATTTATTGTCAAATTAAGTCAATTGTCGTAGCGTTGTACTACTGTGGACCGAGATTTTTATGTCTCTTTTTCATTTAGTTTACATGTTTGGATTCCTGTAGATCAGTTGAATTCACTGTCATTTAACATAAAATACTCATATATGTATCATTTTTATAAATTCAAGTGATTAGTTTTACACAGTTTTATCCATCCGTTTCAAAGTTTACATTAATCATTTAGATGTTGATTATGTACAAACAAAATGATATAATTTCGAAGTGATTAGTACTGTAATTGTGCGATTTTCATCACTTTTATTTCAAAACATAAATCATGTGATAATTTATCAACGGGATGAAATAGTACTAAAAGTCTTAATATTGCACATGATTTTACCGATAACGTGGCAGTATCGTCTTGTTGTAAATCAGTTATTGTTTTATAATATGTAATATTTTATTAATTTTATGAATCACCGTCCAATTATTTTCGGTAATTTTTTATGATAATAATTTAATCTTAATTTTACCAGTTTGTTGTTTGAAACACCGTCCAAAATAAAATTGATAGCTCTTTGCCCCCCCACCATCGTGCGCCAGTTAACCAGGTCACTCTTTAGTGACATGGACATTTTACGTTTTGTTGGTAAAGTTGTATCAAAATTGTCCTTCCGATAATATCGCGGATCTGCATTAAACTTTAAAGTATTGTAGAGCATTAAAATACCACCTTTTTTTTAACTATGATACAATTTAACCTAAGATTTTAGTGTCTGACGTGAAGAAATGAAATATATGGGCTTGCGTGTGGAAAAGAGAATTCTGTGATTTATTTAACGTAGTATATCATGAAAGATGATTCCATCCATTTAAAGAATATGCATTATCTATGTAGATTGATATATTTTTTATTTTTTCCTCTTTTTGAAATATATCCTGTTCAGCACCGTTCTAGGAAAAGAAGTTTGAAAATATGAAAACGGATAAATGATTTATTTCTATTTGAAGTAAAGACAAAAGATACGAAAATTAGATTGATCGGAATACTAAATACACACTGTTATCAACTAGAAATGACATTTATAGATTAATAACTAGTATTTTGCACTGTAAGTAAATGTTTACTCCTTTAAGAAATATAGCAGTTATCTTTAGAGACCAGTACTATACCAATGTTCTGATCATAAGGTCATTTTTATGACGACAAAAATAAGGAAATAAAAGCCAAATAATTAATAATACTTCATTCTGACATTGATAGGAATAAAACTTAAAAGTATTTGCGAGAGGGCTATTTAAGTTGCTTTAATGCATATTTTCCCCCCAATATGTCCCGTCACTAACTAGTTGTTTGATGTTTCATTGTCTCTTAAGATGACATATGTCTTAAATCAAGATGGCGTTTAAAAAGGCTTCTGTGTCTTGTCACTTAGTTACTGTCTTTTCAATAAGACACTTATCGCAAAATTTCGGTTAACTGATAAAATCGGAAAATTTTATCTTGGGACATCATATTCCTAACACAAATGGAGAAATTCCAACATCAAACTATTTACTATGAAGCAGGCATATACCTGGATTTATTTTCTTAAATATTCAGTACCATTTATTTGTACATCGCATCATGATACCTTCAATATACAACACCTTTTATTGTAATTGAAAGAAATAACCTTTAATAAGAAAAGGCAAAACCTATTGACTATATATACATTCATAGTATACCGCTTGGAAAATTTAATTTAATGTTTTGAAAGTATTCCTATTCCTTTTTCCGATCAAAAACAAGAAATCTTAGCAAAAATCATTGTAACATGAATGAAATGTTTGAAATATTCACGCATGATAAACGACTATGTTAATGAGCACACTCAGTTCACAGCTATTATTTAAATGATAGACATAAATGTCTAATATTCATAATTAATACTACCTTTATATTATTAGTTAATATTTTCCCAACAATACTTCTAACACTAATCTACCATATTTCGTTTAATTATGGCCTTCAGTTTTTAAGTTAATTCTTAATTATGAAGGTTATAATCTGTATAGTGAAGGTACAGTCATTTCGAGTTTATTTTTCGTTAGGTTGTTATTAACAGTAACATATTTATTCAGAATTAACAATATTGATATATCAATTAGCATTAATTGTAGCACCCTGTCTCGCCTAATTCTCGATTTATTCGTGGTTCATAGAACCTGTACCCAAGCGTCACTAATAACAAATTTCAATGGCGATGATAAGCGAATGGTGGCTGAATCATGATATGTTCCAATTAATTTCTTGTAATCATATTAATTACGATTTGCTTACAAAAGGAACACGCAGTACTCTTTCACATCCCGAGTCTGTTTCAGAGCAAAAAAGTCTGTTGAACTTGTAAGACAGCTTTCAGACATGTCGTACATGTTTGAAATATAGTTTCTAGTTGAAGTGAAGAGAATTATGTTGCAGAAATATGTGCTATAAAATATCAGCGATCGATAAAATTGAATGATGAATAAATATGTTACTGTTTGTAGTTCCCTTTATGTCCATTTTGGTAGGTTTATAACCTGGAAGAATATCAAAACATAAAAGGTAGTTAAATTAATCTTTGTGTAAGCTTTTCAGCTCTGTACCAACGCTTTGTCTTTCCAATATTTTGAAGAGATGTTAAGCGTTGGGAAGATAAATAGTAGTATCGGTTTTTTTTATATTTTTTGTATGGAAAGTTCAAGGCAAAATAGTGAAATTGTGTTTATTTTCCCTCTCACTTGAATTAAAGGGTTATAGATGTATGGATCTATGTTTATACTTCACACTTAACAAGTTTTGACCAATCATTTCACATTAATTATTAGAAGTTATACTGTTTTCTGCAGCAAAACATTGGCTCATGCAGGTATTTCTGTAAATGTTACTTTTGGGAAGCAAATTTATCTTGCCAAGCATTATTTTCGTATTTTTTTCAGAATCATGTCGGTTGATTTATATTGGAATATACTTTTAAAACACCACTTCGCTGCCAAGTTAAATAAACAAGTTATTTTCTAAAACTCAACACTGCCATACGATTAAGCCTGTAATCATTAACAACAAAACATATGTTGAAATTCAAGGAATATCTGTTGAAACGTATTTGAGATTAAGCATGAATAGATTTTGTTTCTAGCAATGGATGTCACCATAATACAATTAACGTGCCTTATTTATTCTTTATATGTAGAATTTCTTGATCAATGAATATGTTAATTTATGGAAATCAAAAGTTATGTAAAAAATGAAGAAAAACAAGAAAATACCAACATGTCAATATAATCAGAATCCAAAGAAAGATTTACGCCGAAACTCCTGAAGTAGTATAAGAAGATTATAACCAGGTGTTCCAGAAGAGTAAGCATCTTCTGCTTCTTCAAGAACATCCTCCATGTAAATCTTGGTCAATCCTAACAAGTAATGTCAGGTTCTCGAATGAGATATACAGCATCCGAACAGTGTAGCTAAAAAATGATGTAAAAAATTATCATATTCTCCTAGAAAGTGCTGAAGAATTCATCAAATTGATTGTTATGCCAATAACGTGTATTTTAGAATATTTGATAAAAAAAATATGTTTTAATATGAAACAATAGAACCAGTTAATATCATACAAAAAACGTACATTATCGATGAGAATGATAAAACAAATTTATCTTATTTTTATTTTTGAATCTTTATTTTGCAATTATTGATATAGCTGAAACAAACGAAATAGATAAAACATGTGTGATATGTATTGGTATCTTTTAAGGTATTATATACAGCCAACAAAAAACAACACATTATATCGTGTATGTAAAAGAAAATCGATATTTGTTATCAGTATCTTTTCAACATAAACTGTGATATGTATCAAACAGTTTTATATTGACTGTTAACATTCTTTTTCCATCCATTTGATCTTGATCTGTCTCAGAATTTATTGAATTATAAATATATTCAAATATTTACTATAATTATATCTAGTTTACCCGCGTTTTGGGGGTGTTATGTAATTTTCGTTTCTAAAATGATCTAGAATGCAATTCTGTTTTTTTTTTATATGTCACGGTGGTCAAACTTATATATACATGCAGTTATATATATAGTTTGGCCAGTAATTTAATTATGTAATGTATACTGCGTACATGTATATGTTAATACTTGCGCTGTGTATAGTAATGTACTGTGTATGAGAGGTGGGTGAAAGTGATTGGATGAGAGTGACCTGCACTTTGACCCTGCATGACCCTGTCCTTGCGCGTGCAGTTTTCCAAATTTCCTTAACTGGGTGCAAATTTGGATTACTGTGCACAAGGCCGCTGTCCTGTGAACAGGCTTAATACTGTTTGCACTCACTGATATTGCTTGTGTGCATTACTGCCACAGTGCAGGTAAGTGTTGTTTAATTTACTTAAAAATATTTAGAACTACATTTAAATATTACTCTACTAAAATATTATGTAAAAGAGTACTTTCATCTAAATGACCGTCCGTATTTTAACTATTTAATATCTTAAATACATACATGGACAGGTTCTGTATATCATAGGGTGGGGTCAAAACAGGAGTTGTAATTGTAGATATATATGTCTCTGTAATAA